CGGCTTTGGAGCAGATGAAGGAGAGGAAGGAGCAGCTGCAGAATGGAGAGCCTGTCCGAGCCAAGCTGGACCGCCAGCCCCAAGTCTACAGACCCTCGCAGCATGCTACACGTTTCGAGCTGCCTCCAGACTTCTACAACCTGACTGCAGAGGAGTTGAAAAGGGAACAGCAGATGAAGTATGAAAGCTAATAAATCCAGAGCATCAGTGTTTATGAAATTTGTTTTAGTTGGGGCCTCTGTGATATGAACAGTTTATCGCTGATACTGATATTATGATAAACATGAGTATTAGCTGGTAAAATTTTATATTTAGATTTTACCATTATAGTCTAATAGTTTTTGTGAAATAGTTCTTTATTGATCGAAATGAGTGTCAGTTCTCAATTGTCACACCTTTTAAGCTGAAATGAACAGACAAAACTTATTTTTTACATTTTACATGTCTTTGTTATAGTAACCACAATGTGTTTTTGTATATAGATTCATCAGTTCAGCCTGTATTGACATCATAGTTAAACAGGTGCTGCCTCATATGTAAGTGGCACAACTAAAGGCTTTGCCTTATTGTTAGGGTATTGTAACTTCAAATCCTGGGATGGCCAAAAGGATGCTAATCATCTTTGCATTATTTTCACCCATACCAATAAAGTCATGAGTCCTCAGTATTGGCTGCTGTTATCAGCCAACCAGTATATCGGTTGTGCCCTAGTTTCAGTATCTATCCATCACTCTTGATAAGAATTTTGGACAATTTTCAGTTAGCTACTCAAGGAGCTCAATATGTTATGTACTTTATTGATCCTACAATGATAATTAGCCATTTTGCTGCCTAACCATGCCCAGTCTGGGAGCAGGAAAGTGGCACCACCATATACGTGGTCAATCCTGGGACTTGAACCTGCTTTCTGGCTCACATCTCCTACCACTAGGGTATTAGCCTAAACCAGATAATTCTCTGATTGTTATTACCAGTTTTAACTACCTAGTTTTGATGTTCATAAGAAACAAAATTCTCTTTTCAGAAGCGATATAGTTGAGAGAAACTCCATGCTGCGGACAAAAGCCATGCGGGAAAAGGATGAGCAAAGGGAGAGAAGGAAGTACAACTATGCTCTCCTGAGAGTACGGTTACCAGATGGGAATATACTACAAGGTATGTGAGTCCTCTGGGTTTTACAGACGTAGCCTAAGATCAGATACATTTCACAGCCGATACTCTGAATTTATTATATCCACACTGACAGTGATTATGGTTTTGAAATATGTATTTTGTATTGTTACAGTACCCACATCTGAATTTATGCATCAACAATTTTACAAATTTATTAATGTATATCAACAGGGACTTTCCTGGCTTGGGAGAGAGTGGCAGCACTGTATCAGTTTGTGCGAGATTCGTTGGAGAATGGCTGGCAGCCTTTCGAGCTGTTGGCACCTGGTGGCCAGAAACTAAAGGAAGATGAGGACATGGCGCTGAATGAATGTAACCTTGTACGTAGGTCAACGATAAAAAGGGTGACCTAATATTCAGTGGTCTGATACAGGGCAGAGTAGAGGATGGTGGGAGGGGGTCATACAGAAATAGCTACGTTCATAAGGGTGACAGTATACACTCCCACTCGTTTTTAAATATGGTCACATGTTGACCACAGCAGCACACCTTGGCTTTGACAGATCATCAGAAGTAGGAATCACTTGACAGTGCCTGCATATGACACTATGAGTTCACCAGGATCTAAGATCTCTTCTAAGAGATATTAACTCTCTAAATGAACATAAGTACCTATGATTTCTTCCTACATTGCTTAAAAAACAAGTTTAGCTGCCTGGAGTGTCTTAAAGGGAGACTCTGGCAAAAATGAAATATTTAACCTTTACCATATCTGTTGTAAACATTCCTGTTCGCCTCCTACATTGTTGCTGCGGAAGTCCCTAGAGCAATATTCCCCAGTCTTTTGATAATGTATCTTGAAGGTAGGAGGATCTTTTGGAAAAACTGCAAGTGCTTTGTGGGAGATATTTGAGGGCAGGCTGTTTGAAAGGTTTTACTTTGTAGCTGGCTAAGGCAGAAGGAAGGATCACTTCTGTGTTTACCCTCTACATTAGTGCTAACAGTCAGGATATTTTTTAAATCACTGGTATGGGGGTTCCAATGGTTTTATGACGTCTTTGCGAACTGCATGCTGGGTATTGTAGTCAGAGAATACTGATGGACGAAAACACAAAAAGAACACAAAATTGTAAATTCTGTCAAACCGAAGGGGAACAGGGATGCAGTGCTGCACTACAGAATATTACATAACATGATCAAGAACATATTAAGTAGTTAGTTTTAGGCCAGAGTACCCCATTAACTGCTTACAGTCCTGTTAGATAATTTGATTAGCTAAATTTCAGTTTATTGCAGTTACCCATTTTACACAGAGTTGATTACACATAAACAGCACATTATTGTATTGTACATATTGTATGTGTTATGCTACACAATGCATATTCTGTGCAATGGAAAAAGCTTTCTGATTTAATTGCGCAAAAAGCGGCAGATAAGTGAACAAGTAACTCTTTCAGTGCATGTAACTAAACCTCAGTCACTTTCGTATAACTTCATATCCTATGATTATTTCCTTTACGTCAGCTTGTAGATCACGTTTTTTAAGTAGTACTGTATTGTAAGACACCAATGAATTAAACAGAAATTTGCTTCTTTTCTGCTACTCACTCATGATCCAAGTAATCCCAAACACATTCAGTGATGTTGAGGTCTGGATTCAGGGGTGGACAGTCCATTGAGAACACCAGCAGCATCTTTTATTAAATTGTAAATTCTTTTCATTTTTGTCTATTTCTTTTTTCTCAGTAAGGGCTTCTTGACATCCTTTCAGACTCGTTTCACTCAGTTGTCTTCTCACAGTGGAAGGATGGACAGAAACACCCGTGGATTTTTTCAGATCTGAAGCAAGAGTGGAGTTTGATTTTCTCCTCTCTCTCAAAGATGAAAGCTGTACGTGCCATTTATCTGATGGGCACAGTTCCGTTTTTAATCATTTTTTAAACACAACTTGTTTTGAAACACCTCACCTATTTTCCTTTGACTTTCCCCTTCCTTATGCAAGTGGATTATCTTTTAGTTAATCTGTCCTCAGAAATATCTCCTGAAAAATGAATAACTTGTACTTATCAGCCATTTTGGCAGGAAATTAAATAAATGAAGGGTGGTCTCTGACAGTACTGTGGGTCAAGACACCTAAAATGAAGCTGAAATACTGTCTGGTCACCCTACTGATAAACCTCTGCTCACACTTTGAGAGAGAACATTAGACTGCAACTCGTAATGGTCTTTCATGGTATCTCTCCTTCTTTTCCTCAGGCTCCTGCGGCTCTCCTGACCTTCTCGTGGGACGCTGCGGTCCAGGCAGACATCGCTGCAGCCGGAGGACAGAGCAGTTCGGTGCTGAAGCCAGAACTGCTAGAGAACATTAAGACCCTGAGCTGAACCCCAGCTCTGCTCCCCTTCTGCTCTCCCTGCCTGTGCCTCCTGTTTCCACTCTTAACAGCCCTCTTTCCCTGCTGGAGTCCATGCAACCCTGAGTTCAGTTTCACAGGCTCAGAGCATTACTGCAAGTGCTGATAGGCTGTTACAGGATGAGAAATGTGGGAGAACGTCATGGTTAGTCATTGATTAAACAGTTTAGCAATGACTTCTTTAGATAGTCATTGCTAAAGATAGGAGAGACAGCACTTTTACAGCTGAGCAAAGAGACGGTCACTTCGTTATCTGACTGAACGTGATGGTTTGTCTCATTCAAGAATGATTTTTGTGATTAAGTGTTCAGTGTATTGTTCATATGCTGGAGAATGAAATCATTTCTATTGCACTGTGATGCTGCTGTAAAACCGGTCCGTGTATTTGAACCTGTGTTTTACTAAAGTTTGTTATTTTTAAACAAATATGTCGTACAGATTAAAGCACTTTGAGGCTACTTTAACAAAAGAGAATCGTTAAAACTAATCTGCATTACCAGATGTTGATTGCAAGCGTACTAAACTTGGGATTTTTTTTTTCGTCCAGTTGAGGCATTTCAGTTATTCTCTCACTCATTTCACATTAAATACCTTTAACAGCTCTGAAAAGGAAAAAAGTAGATCTACATCATGACAACATTGCAAAAGGATTGCATTCTGAACACTGCAGAAACCAGGATGACAACAATCTACCTCCTCACAAACCAGCAAATGTCCACTCCCATTTTGCGAGAAAACATTTGAGATTGCAGTCATGAAATTTACTCGCCCAAGTAGCTAGGACAGTATGCATTTTTAGTGGTTTCCAGCATCAGTAGGGGACAAGTGTGCAACCTGCTTGTTAAAAGGTATTTGTTTCTGTTCTGAGACAAGTTTTAGTTGAAAGTAAAACTGAAATTGATGGATAGCACAAGAAAAAAATACCTTATACTTTGTCTACAGTAGCATTGTTCTGTTGCTTTTACTAATTTACAATATGTAATAAAGTTTAACGCTGCATCGTCAGATGTGTCAGTTTTGTGTGCTACAAAATGGCCAATAAGGAACAAAGCAACTAGAGGAGCATGATAGAATCATATTGGTATCAGCAGGTAGTTTTAAAAAGTAACTGGCAGAAAACAGATGTTTAGATTTGACTGATATTTAAAATTGATACTTTTAGACAAGGCTGTGCTGAAATAAATGTTATATTTCTTCATAATGCTAAACCAGATATAGTCCCAATTCCCAATTCACCTTTTAAAAATCTTTATGCATGTGTACAAGGCAGATGCGTATATGAAAAACATCAGCATCAGCCCGAAATTCCCAGTTTGGCGCATTTCTAAACTCCACCTTACACTTCAAATGCAATGTGTTGTCAAACATGATTCTCTTCAGCATGACTTGTTTCTTTCCTTCCCATCTGCTGGTGACTCACATGAAAAGATTTCTGCATTTTTTTTTAAATAATGCTTTATTTAAACAAGTATTATGAGACACCTATCACAACTGCGAATCATGATGCAGTTCTCGCAGTTCAAAAACATTATGCCAACAGAACGGAGTTTTTTTTCCTTTTCTTCTTTTTGGACGGTAATTTAACATTTCCACCTCTCAACCATTATTCAAATGTTACACACAGAGGTATGAAACATCATTTACACCGTGTTTAGCAGCTTGGAGGACAAACACCACTTGCAGGGTCTTTTTTACCTTTTTACAAAAGCTCCAAGAGACTAAAAGAGAGAATCCAACAGACTTTTAGAAGGCATACATATAAGCCAAGATGAGAATAAAAACAGTAAAGGCATATAAAAGTGCGATACATTGTCAACAATCTTTTTTTAATGAAATAACCCAGTTCAAGTATTCTGGAAAAAAGAAAACACATATATATATACTTTATGTTATAAAAATTGGCTGACACTGAGCTATAAGTCCAGCAGGCAGCTACTATTCCTGGTCATACAAAGTTGTGATGTTTGGACCACTATGGACCAGCAGAGCCTTGACAGTGTTCATGAGTAAGCCCACCACCACTCATTGACAGGGCAGGGAATTAAACCATAGCTGCCTCTTCAAAAGAGCTTGTTTGAGCTTAAAATTGTCCACTGGTAGTATATTACAATTAATTATCAGATGCTTAATTTAACATTTCAATGGCATGACTGATCATTTGAGGGGCCTTTAATACTGTGTTCCCAACTGATTGTAGACTAGATTCTTTTAGCCTCCCACACACCTCAAGACACACTCAACAACATGTTGGGTCTTAAGCAGTAGCTGGTGTGGGGCAGCGGAGGGACAGAGCAGCGTCACTGATTTTCGTGTCCACTGGCTCTGTGCTCTTGGCTCCTGTTGTGGGCGTCTGGCCATCTTGTTCAGAAGATCCTAGATTAAACAGTCGAGAACAAGACAGGGTCAACGTCAGGCTTCCTCGTTGTGTAGGTGATATCCATCTAGTCAGGCTTCAAGATCTGGGACTGCATTAACTCGGTCTCCTCATTATTCTCAGTCATTGCTAATATAATATTTAGCACACTTTTATTGACATTAACATCTGAGGGTAATGACAGGTAATTAGGGAGAAGCCAAGCCTCCAGAAAGCAGCAAATTAAAATAAATAAATAAATAAAATTCAACTTATCATTTTATGTTAATTAAATAAGTTATTGCATAATTTCTTGTCATTTTCATTTCTATTTTCACTCAATAAAAACAAAGTACAGACAGCTTCAGCTTGCTACTTCCACCACTCTGACTGGCTAAACGGGTTGTTCCCATCAAATTATGCAGCTTATTTTCAAGAACCAATCATAATACATCTGATACATTCAACACATCCAACTGCTTGTTCTTGCATGAATTTTTGTTGAACAGCAAAATGAAACAAACGCATTAACATTCATATATGCTTATTATTACTGCTTTTTACAAGGTAGGACAATTTCTACTGCATGATTTCTTTATATTTTCAGTTCTATGTATTTGGTTAGTGTAGACTTTCTACAGTTTTTAAGCCTGTGTCTGGGCTCTCACTTGCAAGCTCTGCTCCTGAGGTGTGCCCTTTCAACACTGTCAGTGTGTCATTCTACATATTTGTTTTACATCAACATTGTGGAAATATATTTGTATAATTTTTTTAATTTCAAGTTTGAGCTCCATTTTTCTTTCAAATGCCACTATGAATCATTGAAAGTTTTAAGAAATTTATTTGTATCTTTAAAAAAATAAAAAAATAGTATTTTAAGTTTTGCAGCCTATACTGTCTAAAGCTCAAAGTACTTTATTTTACCAAGTTGTGAATAAGAGTTGCATTCTTGTTTAATAAATTTTTTTGGTCTAATTTTTTTACATTACAAACATCTAATTTATGTAAAACAAATTTCAGCCCCAAATATCAGTTATCAGTTTCCTTGTTTACTTAATAATTTGTGAAAGCCATATCAGTCAGCCCTACTTATTCTATATCACTTTCTACAATTAGGACAGTATTTAGGAAATTGTTAGGTTTTTTTGTGAGGTTGGCATGTGTCTGTAATACTCTATCTAGAAATAAGATTACGAACTTAGGAACTGTTATTCTGTAATAGCAACTTAAATTCAACCATAATCGATGTCAACTCTGAAAGCTTTATCTGTTGAGACAAGATATTTCTGTAATACGGCCATTGGAGTTCAATATGTAGACTTACCAGACTGTTCACTCAAAACAATGCAGTCATCATCGTCATCATCTTCAGTGTCTGCTTGAAATCCATCAGTTTCCATTACCTCAGTCTAAGGGGTACATAGCACAAACAGTACCTTAACGATGATCCTCTTTGCCCCATCATTATTATCCATATTAACAGCAGTAACAACTAAACTTCTAAACATTTCTACACTCACATCTACCCACACACCCATCTCCTTACCTGACAGAACACCCCACTTCTACAAACACAACCCTTATAATTAAAATAAAGTAAGGCTATACCTGTTCAGGGTCAGTACATTTCTTCATGTATTTGGTGATGGAGTGGTTGCTGGCACTCTTCCTCTTGTTGGAGGGGGTGGTGGATGTGGATTGGGGCGCAGTGGGAGAGGTGTTCTGTGACCCTGGTTGTTGCCCTGAGGGCTCATCTCGTGCCATCTGGGCTCCAGAGGTGAGGTAGGTCCATTTGCAGGGCACAGGTAGAGCCTCCTGCCCAAAGCGTGCCAGAACATCAGCGTGTACGTACCAGCAGCAGCGCCTGTAAGTGGAGCGCTTCTCGTATACCGCATTCCCCTTAATGAGACGCTTCACGTGAATCCTGAGTAAAAAAAAACAGAGTATATCGGGAACTAGGATTGAGTCTCTTGACAACAGAATGATTATCCATCTTCATTAGCTTCTAATTGGATAATTTAAAGGGCAAAAAATGTGTTGTCTGCAGATTTAATATTCACAAAAATAAATATTTGTCTCATAAGCTACATTCTTTTAATTTGCATGTCCTATCTCAGCCCTAATATGTTGTCAAACTTTTAAACTTGTAGCAGTGCAAAGAGACACTTTTTAAAATTGCAAATCAAGCTCACTAAACAGATAAAAGCCAAACTACAATGTATCATGCACAGAATGCCTTCCCTTGCTAAACATGAACTAAAATGATTCACAAGTTGTTGTTACATCAAAAAAAAGACAATAACACAGTCCAACCTAATATCCCAATAAAATACAAAAACAATCGTATACAGGCTAACCTACCACGGTAAGCTTTAGCCATATTTTAACATCATGACTAAAACAACACCCCAAAGCAAACAGGTTGAGCCATTGCTAGAGCATGTTTTGCAAAATCATACTCGCCTTCAACCTTTATAACCACAAAGACAATTTGAAACATTCCACTTTGCTAAGGCATGTGAGTCACACGGTAAATGCTGGCCAGGTCTTAGCTAAGCCTAAAACCAAACACAAATAATCTGCAAATGTTATAAGCAAAAGGCTTAAAATGCAAACACTCTTCCCATAAACGAAGTTTAACAGCAGTGCAATCCAACTCACCTTGGGGGAATGTTGTCAGAGTTCTGAGGACTGCCAGTCGGTGAGGATGTTTGCTGGCGACAGAATTCCTGGAACTCAGTGATGATCACCTTACTGCTATTCACATTGCCATGCAGTAAGGGCAGCAGCTGGGACAGCACTGAGAGACAGGCAAGGAAATATGAAACTCTGCACAAGTATCACAGCATTATCACTTAACACCCCAGAAAGAGCATTGAAACTGTGTCCACCATTTAAGTGAAACTGCCATTAGCCTTCTACCACTGTGGTAGTGATTCTGAATAATAAATCAATATTATCATCAATAATAATTAGATTATTGTTAGACCCAAAAAATAATAAACATGGCATTGTAGCATTTCTTAGCCTTAACACTTCAGAATTAGGCAAACAGTAAACGCTCCTTGCGCCTCAGTTTCTAAACCCCAACCCTTCCCCTGCTACACTGCACACTGTGTGCTTATTATAAGCAGAGCATTAACAAAAGTAACTGCTGCAACGTTATCAGAAAACAAATTAACTGGATTTTTAAATTCATTACTCAGTAAATGTTAAACGATGAACTGAATGTTGCACAGCGCTAATAAGAGCACAGTGGAGCTGACCACGCTAGAACTAGTGTAGAAGGCTCATAACTTTGCTCAACACAAAACAGGTTATGTCTTTGTCACACCAATTACCAGTTACTGGTACCAGTTACCAGTTACTCAATTTCACTCAGTCAGATTTAAGTCTTTAGTTTCCAAACTTGCAGATATCAAACCTGTGCTGTTGTGTGCAAAGCTGTTTTGGCCTGCTTGCTAATGCTAGCTTCAAGTACTAACAAGGCCATCAGCAGAGCATCAGTGAGCCATAATCAAACCTGTGCCGTGGTCTTTGAAGTTATTGCTACCAGGACAACGCCTTATATGACAATTTTATTTGATCTGACAGTCATAATTCTAAGTAATGCCACAATTGATCTATTTTTGTTAACTGCACAGACCAAACATCTCAAACAAGTTAGCTATGCTAGCACATGCATGTTCTACACCTACAAGTTTTATGTCACCATGTCTGAATCTTGTCATTCGTCATCTTGTCATTCGCAAATCGTAGTTGCAAAAATGCATTTTGGTAAGTCTTGTAGCCTTATAAGCTACACAACCCAAACTTACATTGCTCTTTTCTCTGCTGACATGATGCGTCATCTTCAGGTGTGCTGGGCTCCTCTCTGGGAAGAGGCTCCAGCATGCAGACTGCATATGGCTGCAGCAACTCTGGTGAAGGCTTCTCTCCCTCCCACATACAGCCCATCACTACTGCCTCCAGAACCTTCAGCTTCCTCTTAGCCATAAGTTCGTCCCACTCCCGAGCCTTCAGCGTCTGTCGCACTTTCTGCTTCTCAAGGTCACCTCCCTCCTACACATATACACATTCGTCGAATGACCACACTGACAACTACAACAGACCAACAAAACTCACAATAGTTGCAGCCAGGCATACCTCATCTTCAAGTGCTCCTTCCCCATCCGAAAGATACCCATGCGGTACAAAGAAGCCATCATCATCGTCGTCATCATCTCCCCCATCATCATCGTCATCCTGACGAAACACAAAAGAGTTATTACTCTTCATTCAATTACTTAAATTACTACTGTACCCACATGCACAAGCTTCTTTTGTTCTTGAGAATGATTGGGCCTGCACAATTGATAGTTCACAATTCACAGTGCCTTGCAGCTGAGATCTACTATTGGAGTCCCAATTGTGCTTTGTGACAAGACCTGACAGTCAAGATGTTGGGTTTAGAACACACAGCAACCCATGTTCTAATTAGGAATACACTGGTATGGATGTTCTGAGCCGACGAGAACATCAAGTGTATTTCATCTATATATCTAACAATGCGGATGCCGACATGCACATATAGAAAACTGCATTACAGAAAAATAGAATGTTTATTTGTATAGGGTTACAGATGCACTACAATGAATAAGATTGACATTTAAGCACAGTAGTGTCACCTAGTTATTCTAATACTTCATCTGTAGCATAAATGCATATACCTGAAAATTAAAATGAACAAGAAACTCATCTATTTCTGGTTTGTTTGAATTTCTGACACTAGCCAATAAAAACAAAAACAAAACACAGCTACATGGCAGCTCACCAGACAAAAATGGTTGAACACAACAATTATACCAATATAAAAAAAACAATCTTGCCCAGAAATAAAGGTCATATTCCATTTCACTTTTTATGGTTTAAGCTTAAAATTTAACCAGCATGGTATTTTGACTTTGCATTCTTGCAACATGCTTAAACGCATGTGTCAAGTCAAAAAAACACCTCACCCCCTCACTGTGTGACAAAGACTCTCCAGGCTCTTCTTCCTCCCACTCCTCATCACTGTCCACCTCATAGTCCAACAGTTCCTAAAGCACACAAACTCCGCTTTAATTTATTTATTTTCTACATATGTTAGATAATGTCAGTAATGGAGGTAGCAACGAGCATAAACTAAAAATGTGAAAGTGGTGTTTGCTGAGGTTTTTACCCTGTCCTGCTTAAAAGGGCAGCGAGGTGATACATAGTTGCTTTTCTTGCTCCAGGTACCCCAGTAGGCAGGACGATAGTTTTCATGAAATTGCAGAAGCTTCATTCGTCCACAGCGCTTGCGATCAGGAACATCGTCTGGTTTTGAGCTATCAGTAACCACTAAACAATCACTAAGGGCAAAACGGAGCAGAGCTTTAACAAGGGAAACTTATATCACTGAAATTTCATATACAAGAGCAACACATCAACACTGCGGCTTCTCTGTACCTAACATTATATTATCATCCAATTACAAAATCCATCTGTGGTCTTACCTCATAGTGTCTATGTGTCTGGGTTTGGTTGGGCCAGACTTGCGGGGTTTGTGGGCTGTCCAGTCCTTCAAGCCATTCAGAGTAGTATCCGGTTCAGCCAGATACCGATCTAGCTCCTCCAAAACAGCTTCATCACAATGAACTCGGGTCAGCGGCGCCAACGTCATGTGTTCTTTGATCTCAAAAGGCGCAAACTTCCCACACACTGACGCCAATGTCTGAAACAGAGTGCCATGGAAAATCGAGTTTAAAATAGATACAATAACATACATTATCGCTAGTTAATAAGTCACACAGAGAAGTCTCATACAATAAAGATAACCTTAAATAATTTAAATCATACCTTTGGTGCTAACTGAGTCTTGGGTTTCTGCAGGAAGCGTGTGATCTCGGCCTTTTCAGCTTTGATTCGCTAAAAAGAAATCAGTGATTAGTTACTGAACTGCTACTTTTGACTTAAAGAATCCATAAATTAATAAATTCATATGACAAACTATGACAAAGCTTTGTCAAATTATATATAAAGAGCAGATAAAAAATGTATTATGGGTTGAGCCCCTTTAAATATAAACCGGTATGTCACACTTGCCCAAAGGTTTATTTGGTTAAATTCTAAAGCACTAAAACTAACCTCTTTTTCTTCTTTCAACCGTTTTTCCTCTTCTTTCTTTCTCTTCTCTTCAAGTTTTGCCCTTAAAAAATATAAAAACAGGACCATGTATATAAGCACTCATCACAAAACAAAAATATCAGACAAGTGTAGTTGGGCCACTTACTCTATCTTTACTTTACGCTGCTCTTCTTTTGCTCGCAGTCTCTCTGCCTTCTCTTTGTCATCCCTTTCCTTTTTTTCTCGTCGTTCCTTTTCTTCTTTCTCTTTCTTTTCCTTTTTCTCCCTTTCTTTCTCCTCTTTCAGTTTGCGCGCTTCCTCTCTCTTTTTCTCTTTGGCAGCTTTAGCCTCCTGTTTCTGCCGTTCTTTCTCTTCCCGCTGACGTTGTCTCTCTTCCAGCTCTTGAGAACTCTGAGGCACAAGGAGAGAACAAAACCATCTTCAGAATAAATTAAGTAGCTTAACAAGGATTAAAGCATCAGAGCCCAGTTATGCCAAAGCACCAAAAGTTATTTAAAAAAAAAGTATAACTCTAGATTGCAATCAGGACCATCTTAAAACCTCAATTATCTTGGGAAAGTCTATCCAAACATAAAGACTTTACCTTGAGTGAGCGCCTTTTTACTTTTTTCTGCTCAGTGTCTGTCCTTGGCACCTACGAGAAGAAATTGTAAAATGTATTTAAAAAGCTGAGATAAGAATTTACACCCATTTAGATTAACAGATATAGGTTAATAACGTACTACCAAACACTTTAATTTACTGTTAGAAGACACTCAAGCCTGATCACATTGCCTCAGCACAATGAAGGTATCTAATGACCTTGATTTCTAATGGAATGAACTTGAAACCGATTTATTTTCATTAAGCCTTTTTCTGGTCATGTTCTAATGCTATAATGTGGAAAGTACATGCCTGGCTGAGATTTTTTAGAATGATCTACAGAAAAAAAAAATCTCAAAGTCACAGGACAATGGTTTTAATTGACTGTAGTTCATCACTTTTTGTACAGTTCACACTGGCACCATTTACGACCAAGAAAATTCGGTGCATCACAAATAAGGAAAAATGGCAGTCTTGAAATGCTTATAAGTTTTATGCCTTGCCTGAATATTGCATCGCCAAACTCCTCATCCAGGAATTTCCTTTTTACAGATCTTGAAAATATTCAGGTATTTCTAATTTGCTTTTATTTGAATCTGTATACATATTTTCCCACTGTTTAGGGAGGAAAACATCCCAGCCTTTCTCTCTTTTCATCTAAGGGCATTGGGTGCACAAACAACATACAAGGAAAACTGACTATTAAATCCAGTATTAACTAGAAGGGTTAGAAAACACCATGGTCGTTTTCCTTCTACTCACAGAAGCAGGAGTGGTTGGTGTGCTCTTGCTGGGCTCTGGTGAACTCTCGACGAGTGATACAGAGCTGGTGGACACAGGAGACAGCAGAGACTCATTCTTACTCACTTCAGCCTCCTCCTGCTGCTTCTTTTCATGCTCATTCTCAGCTTCAGATTCCAGTGTGAGGTCCATCTCAGGGAGAACAACACTGTCCTCTGCTTCATTTGTTTCCATATTTTCTTCTGAAGAACGGGAGTCAGCAAGAGCCGTTTCTGGTTCTTTTGTCTGCAAGGCATTCTGTGTGTTTTGTGCAGCATCGACTGTAATGGGGCACAAGGCATCCACCGGAGCAGAGGGCTGCTGTTTAACAGCATCAGTGGAGTTAGAGTCCTCTGTTAGGTCAATAGTGACAACAGAAGTAGAGCTAGCCAGGGGACATTTTCTCCGACTCATAAAAGAATCAAGAGGCCCACGCCCATTTACCAAAGCAGGTCTACGCTGCAGGGAGAGGGAGGGAACATCTTCATTCTCCCTATCCAAAGTGCTGGATTCGTGGGTAGGCGGAGCAGAAGGCCCAGTTCTTGTTTTTTTGGTCTCTCTGCTTTCCTTGGGTTCAGGGTTAAGTCTCTTGAAGGGAAGACGGGCTGCAAATACAGAAACATTCATTAAAATTGTAATCAAACATCAATAAATAACAAATAAATAATTATAATAATTCAAAATTCTAATTGAGCCTCCATATTGATAAATGGCCAAGCTAGGTCACATGATCAACCAAAACACTGCATGTTTTTAAATAATTTTTGAAAATAATTATGATAAACCAATAGCTCCAAGTAACGTCCTCTGTAAAAAGTCTGCTGATGGATATTGTGAAAGTTTTGGGGTCGAACTTAAGACACCCATATTCCTGTATAATTTACACATAGATATAAATATATATATATATTTATATTAATCCATGTGGACATCAACTGGATCTTTTTAAATTTTAAAATGTTTAAGAACAACCATTTGTACATGCCATGGCATGCAATGCGGGGCAATATGGAAAAAACATCAAATCATGACACTTAAGGGCATTTCCACAATACATGATATATATCATGATAATGGGGCACAAACAAGACGCACCAGTAAGGCTACAACTGCAGTCAAAATCTCTCTGTACAATGATTTTTGAGTGTTTTACAAAGAGCACTACATTAAATCCATTTGCACAGAGACAATTAATACTGACAATTTAAATGACATGCTCAGAAAAGCATACCGTTTATCACAATCACAAAATTTCAGTTCAGCTCGATCCTCCACTCAACAATTACCTTGAACAAGCTTCTTGGCGGCGGTATTTGCTTTGTCCACGCAATCCATACCTGCAATGTAAAAACGACATTTTGAATGACCAGCTTTAGTACTGCCTCAAGCCACAATGCTAAATGATGATATCCACGTCAAGCGCACTTAGGTAACTCATTGATGCAAAAGCTGCAAACGTACACAATACGTAAAATACTGAATGTTTCGACTACTCGCTTATTTTTGTGTATTTCTGAACGATAAACGATGACAGCCATAGCACAGGGACACGAGCAATATAATTTAAGAACTGACGTTAATCAACTTCACTACTTCAATAGGTCAGGTTAAAGTTACCTTCCAGCAAACAGGTTTCACCAGACTAAACATGTTTACTTAACATCCCACAGCAGTTAAATGCGATAAACTGTCTTTAATGTTTCCAAAACGTACTGACAGACTTGGGTCACTAGAAAGTTCAAACAAAAACGCTTGCTTTTTTTGCTCTCCCGCCATTCAGTGAATCCATTACCGCAGTAGGCCCGGTTGTGCTTAGCTGGGTCCTCACTGTACAACTTAAGGCAGTCTGTGCTTTAGCTACTAGCTACAGCGCTCTGACCCCAGAAAACAGACATTATAGATTATTCACTGTAAACGCTCAGCCTAACATGCTACGCTAAAAGCAGCATAAGCAAGTTATAATTCTCACGAGAAACAAGACGTAGACATGGAAAACGTAACGTTAGAGGTAGAGTCAAATTTCGAAAACAAAAATAAATGCTAGGTTAGCTAGCAAGAGGCTGACAAACCTAACAGGCTAACTAAATGACAATAGCATTAATTTCTACTGGTGCGCAATTTAAAACTGCAATTTCATCCAGAACATCACTCACCAAAGCATACGTCTATAGCTATGGTTGGTTATATGAAGCTTGATAAAACAGCTTTTATGGTCGAACGAGGATAAACAGTTTACAAGTAACTCACATTAGCTTAGCTAAGCTAGCTGTCCAACTGCTTGACTTACATCTACAAGCTAGTTAGCAGGCTGTATTAGCAGTTTGGCGAAACATACGAACGTCAAGGTTGGCAGCCAACTAACATTCAGTTCTGCGGAGGCTTTTACTAAATAAAGCACAGAAATGCGTAAAAGAACAGGATAAATATCTGGTATTCGGACCTCTGCGCGGCGTGGAGGCTAAAGGCCCGTCCACGGATGGGTCTTCGGCCGCAAGCATCACCACCACCATCCGTCGGGTAACTTAGCAGCTTTCTGCTAGCGCGCAGCAACAAAAGTAACAAAAACGTCTCAGGTGTTGAAAACAAAAGGCGGCGAAGGCTATTTCACTTCAAAAGGAAAAGTCTGATGTTTCATTGACCCTGTAATTGGAGAATAATATGAATTTCGTAAAAGTGTTTCGCCGCTGTGCTCGTTATTCCACCCGACTGTTTTTTCCCTTCTGCCCGGTCGTTTCCCCGCTGTTCCCCTCGCGCTTTACTCAGAATTGGCGGGAGCTCCCTGCGAACCCACCTCACCGCCGTTGATTGGCTGCAGAAGCGATTCGTCACCAGAGACGAACTAACAGGCCATTGGTTCTTTCTGCGTTTCCACGGAAACTGTACCTGCAGTTTTTCCTTCACGGTTGTAAATCTCAGCGGAAATTTGTCAATTATTATAATCATAATATACTTGATATTCAGGTGTTTAAGGCCGCGGGAGTGGTGTATGGAAATGATTCCCCAGCACTGACCATATACTGTCGGAAAGAAGATTGTAGTGATATGTGTATGTTATTATGATATGTAAACGTGCCTGGGGAAGGACTTACATGGCAACCATATCAATTTAAAACAGAACATGTCTGAAATTCAGGTCTTTAGGGCCACTGAGGAGGTAAATACTGTCCATACCTTCTTGGAAAGCAAAAATATTTTAGATAATCATGACATGTGACAATGCCAGGTTACTAACTCCTACATATGACTTTGACTGCAGTTTTTGGAATTGCAATTTTCGCAATTTTTTATCTAATATCCACACTTTGAGCATGCCTGTCCTCAACACTTCTATAAAAAATTTGGCACCTTCAAATAAAACAAAACTTGACTTGTGAAACATACGAAATACTTAATGCTCAAGATTTCTGGCATTACAACAATGTAAAGAAAACATTATTCTGATGTCTGTTAGATGCTGAACAAAAATGATTAGCAGTTTGTAATGGTCTCGTTTTAGGTTCCCCTGTCAGAGGTTCTCTAATTTAGGGGGAGATGGCCATCCTCTGCTGATTTGCATTGGGGAAAGCATAACACCTGGCTTGGCCAAGCAAATCAAACCTCAAAAGTTGTAAGCTAATCATATTCGACCCTGACGTCAGAGAAGCTTATGGGTTTCTCAAACACTAGAGGGCGCTCCAAAGCGAGTCCAAAATAAATGGGCTAACGTAGCATTTGGGCAAAATAAGTTTATAAATGCTTAAACATCTTTACTGTAAAAGAGTACATTAATTTCCTGAACACAGAACAGCAGAAAACATTTTAACACTGCTGTTAGGTTTCTAAACGCTTTTAAACTACACTTATAGGAGTGTAAAATGGAGCCTCATGTACATTCAGGATGTCAGTGAGCTGCTCTCTTCGCCAACCAATTAGCACTCAGTGGCAAGACACAAACACACACACACACACACACACACACACACTTACCGACGCCCTCTGGTGTTTTACAGTCATGTTTTTTTAAATAACAAAGGAAATAGGAAGTGGCCAGGCTCCTCTTAAACCGGTTCTGGTCCTATAGTCATAGCATCAGAGCCAGTTCAAGGGAAGCCCGGCCACTTTCTCTATCTCCTGCTATATCAGAAACATGAGTGCAAAGCACCACAGGGCACCCGCCAGCGAGTACTCAATTAGTGGATGTTAATTGAGCAAAACGTCTAAAAACAAAACCACTTATACATATGTAACAGATTGGCACAGTTGGCAAAATGTCACAGAAATGTGATACATGTCCAAAAGTGTATAGACACCTGGTTATTCTTCTAAAATCAAGGGTACTAATACGCTGCAGTAACAGCCTCTACTCTTCTGGAAAGGCTGTACACCAGAACATTGCAGTAAATACTTGATTGCATTCAGCCACAAGAGCATTAGAGCGGTCAGGTACTGATGTTGGATGATTAGTTCTGGATCACAAACTTATCCCAAAGGTATTGGAAGCTATGTGTGCACAGCTGAATGCCTGTGTCCTCATTAAGTGCATCTTAAAGGGCCCAAATAATGGAACATTGAATTTTTGTCAGTTTTTGGAATAAAAGTGTTGTAATATCATCACATAAAAGTGAGGATTTACGTAAACATTATTTAAGTTTCAAAATGTGCTGCTCACTCCCCAGTTCACTCAGTCCATATATGGAAACTAATCTGCAAAAACAGCCTGTTTCATCAACAGTTACATATAGCTGCCTGTTCAGCCTCAGCAGTTTAGCCCCACCCACTCATATTGAAGTTATAGGGAGTGTTTCAGCCCAGCCTCCTTGTTGAATGAGTCACAACACAGGACAGCCAAGAAGAACACAGATCATCCACATATATCTTGTCATTAAAGGCATAATAGCAAAAACTGAACGTTAAGAGAACCATCATACTATGTAAATTTGATCTGTGTCATTGTCTTACATGATTTCAAATTAAAAGTCATAGATTCTTTTGTTACCATTAAGCTTTACTACCTGTCTGTTAAGCACCTACAGCTGAGCAGCCACTGGTATGAAAAGTTCTTCACAAATACAACATATTATTATTATATTATATTATCAAATCATTTTAACATCTGGCATCAAGCTTTTGTACCTGCCATGGGAGTACATTTGAAAATTAGCCAAATTGGCTAAACTGGCACATTTATAGAAATGTTTATTAATGTGCCTTAAGGGAATTAATTGTCCCTTTAATCTGAATCGAATAAACTAAACTAAACAGAGGTTAGAAAATGGTCATGTAAGATACAATTACAACTGTTTTGGTACATAAAAACATAAATATTTTGATTGGACTTTAGGGGAAAAAAATTAAATCCACAAAAGGTGTAGGGTATGGGCTCTTTAAAGTAGCTGAATTCACTAATTATAAGGACTGTCTGAATACTTTTTTGCAGCAATTCATATTTCTGTTCACGTTTCATATTCCCATATAAAGGTGACTATCCAATGTACTTAAAAGCAGGGGATGTTGAGAGACTGTGATCTCTGTGACCCTGGTCAAAAACATGCTGATTCATTTTCATTACATTTACTCCCAACACCAAGAGGTAACATACTCAGCTTACCAACAGATGATGTTCGTGAATTTGTACCAATTTTACCTTAGAAAACCCTTCATGTATCCCCTACCATGAATGGATTAAAATAAATAGATTAAAATTCGTTTTAGACCAAAACCTTTTCAAACAACTACCAACCACTCTGATAGATTTTGTTAACGTTAACCATTTAATTATGCAGAAATGTTGTAAAATCGGTGGAGTTCCCCTTTAAATAATTTTGATGGAATACCTAGTAAAATGAGCTGCATCAGCAATGTTTTCAACTAACTCAAGGCTAGTAGCACAGAAAGAAAGTGTTCAAGGGAAATTTGGTGACATGTGGACCTGCTGTCGCCGTCAGAGAATTGGGAGGAGAATAACCATTCTGTAACGTCTTCCGGGTTTCTCACACGCTAGAAGGCGCTCCCGAGTGAGTCCAAAATAAATGGGTTAAGATGGAGCATTTGAGTAAAATCATAGTTTATAAATGCTTAAATAATTTTAATATAAAAGAATACTATAATTTCCTGGACACAGAACAGCATAAGACATTTTAACACTACTGTTATATTTAAAACGATTTAGAACTGCAGTTATAGGAGTTTAAAACGGCGCCTCATGTACGTCCATGACGTCAGTGAGCGCGAACAGCCAATGACCTGCTCCGCAAGCCAACCAATCCGCACTCAGTAGCAGTAATGCTAGCGTCCTGCTGCCCACAATCGGTAGGAAAAAGGAAACATCCAGATAGGTTTTATACATCCTTCTACTTTCTAAAATTGAAGGAAAGTTCAGGACAAGCGATTAGAAACTATTTTAACGTTTCGCTTTCAGCTGTTTGGCTCCATTCTTCCCCATTCAACGAGGACTCCCTCGCGGGCGCCCTCTGGCGTTCAGCAATCATGTTTTTGATATAATAGGAAAAGACCAGACTCCTCTTATACGGGCTCTGTCGTAGTCTGGCTCCACGCATAGGCTTCCACGTGAATAGTTCACTTACTAGAACAGGCGTGTTCCCATGAGCAGACAGGGGGACTCTGAATGAGATACGAGTACACAATTTCGTCCTCCAAAACATGAAATCTGTCCGCCGAACCATTTCAGCTCCTGTAATAAATACTTATTTACTGTTCGCGTGGATTGTAATCAGAATTTACGCTTAAAAGACCGAAACCCAAATGAAGTCGCTTCTTCGATAGTCACAAGCTCTGTGAACACACCCTTCACCAGCTGGCATCGGGGGACTTGTAGTTCTTTGCACCCTCGACTCCACTGGATACAAATACAGTTAAAAGCCTTTTGAAAACTACATTTCCCAAAAGTGTGACGAAATCGTCGGCCGTTTTCCACGGGACCGACAGAATTCCACAGTTGCATCCTAAAGTTAGCGTCCTCACAGGTAGGATATCATTTAAAATGAGAATGCTGTTTTCCCATGAACGTAAAATCTTGGCACTATCTTTGTTTGCTTATTAATTCTATCGTGTAAGTAGCTTAAAAGCTGTAGTATATGAATAGCCGTATCTGTAACGTTAGTGCTTCGTTTAGCTGCTGATAATGCATCCGTTACCTGCATAAACGGCTCGATATTAGACAGGCCAACTTCTCTAACTTCGTTATTCTGAGAGTTTTGGCCGCTAAGTGCCACAATTTCGGTTCGCTATGTGTAGCAAACCCCGTTTAAAGCAGTTTTATGAGTATATTCATGCTGAAGCAAAGCGACAATATGGATATTTCATTCTGTTTATCCTTGAAATTGGACTCCAGATGTTCAGATGAGAAGAATCTTAACGTATGAGATCCTCAGTCCTGAAACTGAACACTTTAAAAACAATGATTTGCTGTCAAACATGTTCTCTGCTGCGCACTAAACAGCGTAATACATGAATTATTTGTTTACTGGCAAACAGGTAATATTCAGTACTAAACATTAGACTTTGGAGCATGAAGTGTGAATTTTTGAAAAATTAACATATTTATTACCACCAGCATAACAAGACACAAAGCAAGCACGGAACTTTTCCTGTATTTACTGTATGTACATTTGGGTGAAAAAGTTTTTGAACTGTATGAACGGCTCCAACGATATATATATATATATATATATATATATATGATAATGGATATTAACAATTTTATATAATAAAGCTTGTGTCACAAAGCATACATTATGATTTACATTGCTATAGCTAAAATGATAAAATGGTTGAAACATTCGAGGTCATTGATGAAAAAACGAAGAACACATTACATAAACTATATTACATAGATTAATATGTATTATTACACAAATTACATACATTTCATACGGTAGCCCAGTTTGGTAGATAGAATTAACGTCTCTGCATTTCAGAAATAACCTGAAATAAAGGAAATGTTCAGGTTTTTGTTTTGGTCTGTCAATTAAAAAAAAGATAATAAATATATTAATTTTTCAAAGTTTTGCAGATTTCTTGTGCCTAATTTCAATATCTAGCATACTGGACAGTGAAATCCACGGAAATCGCTATTAAACAAAATTATCCCCAAAAATGATCCCCATAGAACATCATCTACTGTCACTCACAATAAACATAAGATTCTCCTTTGAACAAAATAAACAAAAATCTTGAATGATTGCATTTTGCAATGCATGAGCACCAATCAACCTATCAATTACCACACTCCAGATTACTGGACCTTAAACTTTACCTCAAAGTATGTGTGTGTCTGAGGAAATAAATATCTATTTCCTTTTTAACTTTTCACAAGAGAGTCACCTTCTAGAAGGACATACATACAAAAAAAAATACTGAAATAAAAAGGCTTTCACAAGAGAGTCAACTTCTAGAAGGACATACATACAAAAAATAAATTCTGAAATAAATAGGCCTACACGATTATTCAGAAACTGTTTCATTTGGTCTTGGAGGCAGTGAGTGTCTTTCTCGCCAGCTGCCATGACAAGATAAAAGGGTAACTTTCTGTTAAATGACGGACTAATACAGAAACTGAGTTCTGTAGAAACACATAAAGTCATTGTGGTGACGTACCTGCCTCTATAGAGCTAGAATACCTGGGAAAATGTTCAGTATACTGGACGTTTGGAATAGTGAGGTTAAATTCGCACTTGGGCCATTAGGAAGATTGTGTAGCATTGGGTATTTTTATTGTTCTTTTCACTATTAAGTAGGTAATGAAACAGTGGGTGGCTAGATGTTAACCCAGTTTTAGTAGTGTGTAGTAGTGACCAGATTGCTAAAAACAATATTAGTCACATAAACAATGAGCGCTTTTTTCTAGCACAGTTTGGTCAATTTTATGCGCAAACACATCTGATTCAAATCATGTGTTAATTGCCAGGATTAATGGGTGTGTTTGTGCTAGACACCAGCCATCCAGGGCCAGAGTTGTGCAGCGCTGGTCTAACTGAATATCTAGAAACATCTGGGCTACATCTGTAGGTGCTATGCCTGTAGCAAACTAAGAGGCTAACTGAATGCTGTCATTATCTAGCTGCCAGCATTGCTGTTTGATTTCAGGTCACACATTTCACACTGCCAAGCTACAATCCCTTGGTTAGAACAAGTGATGTGCTACTATTGTCAACTGAAAGGAAATTTGTATAAACGTTTAATGCAGTGTGTTTCATGCATTCAGTTTCAATAGAACTGGAAATGAGTTTGAGCTATCCATCTGGGCGCCATCTGTTTATTTGATATTTTTTTTTACATTTGAGGAAAATGTAACTGGGGGAGAAGGGAGCATTTTAAAGTCAACCTAAATCAAAATTGACCGTTTTTGACCTTTTTTTATGTTTATATTCATATTATGCATGATACATTATATCATATTATTTCAAAGACAAAATTGCTTCTTCAATCAAAATGTAGTGCCTACCTCCAAAAACATGTTCTGACTTTTGCCTAATTCACCATGCAACAGCAGGTGTTCCAATTCATGCTGTCTTTAAGAAACATTTATTCCTTTCACTTAATATCTTAATACCTTAATGGGTTATTATTCATAAATATATTTAAAAATGTATTCCCTATTATAATATGAGACACATGTCTCATAACACCTGAATCCATCCTATCTTTTAACTGTCATGTATTACAGAATATAATTGTTTGTTTAATTGTTCACGCTGTAGGCCAATCGAAGGTCAACTTTATGATTTATGTATTAGCAGATGAAGAGAATGTATTCATACAAAACTTAAGCACCTCAGGGCATTATTTGGAACACTTTGGAACTAAATGTGTTTGTGCATGTGAAAATATTATATAAACAAACATACAGTAAAAAGTAACAAGATATTTTTGTTTCCAAGAACAAAGTTTAAAGAACAGGTTCCAGATTTCTCCTTGGTGCCCCCAGTTATTGCATTTGTTTTTTTTTAATTTCCATCACCAGCTCACTTGGTGTACATAATGAGGTGCTGATTAACCAAACCAGGTAATGATAATAACTACAAATAATAATGGGCTTCCTTGAAGAGAGGTTTGGAAATGGTTGAACAAAAATATTGACATGTTAAATTACTACTTCTTGTACTAATGTTATTTGTTTTTAATATAATATTACTGTAATATTAATGTTTACTGACCTGTTAAATAGCTTTTTCTTAGGTACCTAAAACTTTTGCACTGGACTGTATATATTTATGCTGTGCTGTTATTAATGTTTTCTTAAATCTTTTAACACTTTGCAGAGATCTCACGATGACAGGTGAGTAGGGTGGTGTGGTGAAACTATTGATAAGCTTTATACTTTTAAGCCTACTAAGAATATATGATTAAAATATATTATGAAAAGTGTCAAAATTAGTTTTCACACTTGTTATCTTTGTTTTAGAACGAGCTAACAACTTCCCACCTCTGCCTGCGTTTTTTCGCATTAAGCCATGTTTCTACCAAAACATTGACGAGGAAATCCCTCAGCCTCATTGCCAGCTTGTTCGCAGAGTTTACAACCTTTGGATCTGTAAGCAATTTCACACAATCCACTTACCCTACATAGTTTCTGAGTAAAACCAAACTGTACTAAATACTGTTTGTCTCTGGAGCCCTGTTTTCCAAAAGTCTGTCTCCTTCAGTGTACTAATAATGGATACTGATGAGTTATGTTTTTGTATTTATAGTGTACTCTATTACGCTATGCGTCAACGTGGTGTCTTGCATAGCCTGGTGGGCTGGCGGTGGTGGTGCAGTTAACTTTGGGCTCGCTCTCCTGTGGCTCTTGCTGTTCAGTCCTTGTAGTTACACCTGCTGGTTCAGGCCCCTTTACAAGGCATTCAGGTAAGGCTACTCCAGAGAGGTGACAGACCTGTCACAATTATTACATAATCACCTGATTGCATTTATTTTAGATGATGACAGTTATTTAAGCTGATCGTAATTATTTTCCACAGTTGTTAGATTTTACTATTATACAATTATACAATCTCATTGGATGTGTTTTTATAAGTACAAATAATACACAACAGTGCAGTACATCATTTCATGTTTTACAATATATTAATAACTACAAAGTAAAGATAGCTAGGACACCAGATCAGCCACTGAAATTTACATTTATGTATGTGGCAGATGCTGTTATCCAGAGCAACTTACAGCTTAATCATTTTGGGCGAGATAGGCGAATGTAGCATTTGGAGTCTTGCCCAAAGACTTTTAGTGTGATAGTGTGCACGTGTGCAGATGAGGAATCGAGCCCCAGTCTGCCACGTGGAGGGCAGTGGTGTTAACCACTATGATATACCAACCAAATGTAGGCTTGTACATTAATTGTTGCATAAAATAAAAAAAAGACATTTATTTGCAATTATTTATATGGAAATTATTAATATAAGCAACTAAAATTTCATGATTGTGACAGACAAATGACAACATTTGACAATTATGTCAAATAAAAATGAAAACCTCTTGGTTTATCTCTTTCCACAGGGCTGACAGCTCGTTCAACTTCATGGCATTCTTCTTCATTTTCTTCCTTCAGTGTGTTCTGGCTTTCATTCAGACCTTAGGGATATCTGGTTGGGGTGCATGGTGAGTATCATCCTAAAACATTAAGGATACAGTGTGTAGTTTTTATTATGACAAAACAGAGACCATTAGTTACAGACAAGCTTTTTTACCAGTGAGCTTTACGCTTCCTTCCTCGTTACTGTCTGCCACTGGTGTATTTTCATAAATTTGCAAGTCGTCATAAATGATTTTACTGCCACATCAAACCATCTACCTGGAAATGAAAAACAAACTGTAGTATTAATAGCTACGCTTTGCATAATGTTAGGTTTTGAAGGTATACCTCAGAGATGCATATTTGGCTCTACATATAAAAATGTATCACTATCTCAAATAAATAATATTTTATATTCCATTAGCTTTGTCATTATTGTACTTAGTTTCTAACAAGAGTTAAGCTCCTATCATAGTTTGATTCATGATGAGATGGCCTCACTTGTGAACAGTTAAGAATGTTTCACCTGAGATAACTTACATGAATTGTTTTCAGCAAGTGTATATTTCTTGGAGTTGTTTCAAACTAAAAGTTTTTTAAATGAATAGCGTTTGAAGTTCCACCTGAGATTGACTGTCTCATCACGTGGTTTGGTGTTCAGATTTATAGGTGAAAGATACAAGACCTGGTAATGACTAACCCAGTCTACTTCTCCCTCGCTCATACCTTTCACTCTAGTGGTTGGATAGCAACAGTGCTGTTTTTCAGCACTAACGTGGGATCTGCTGTGGTTATGCTCTTCTCAGCTGTGCTGTTCACTATAGTCACAGTGCTTATGGGACTGGTTCTTATCAGGGTAAGTCTGATGCAAAGCACACTAGGTCTATGTTAAAGACACTTTAAAGCAGGGGTGCCTGAACTATTGGTCTTGGGGACAAGGGAGTTTTGGTGGGCTGGGGGTCATAAACAAAAAACAATGCATATAAAGAAGGAAGATAGGTTTCAAATCCAGTTTTTATTTACTTTATGTTTATAATGTTATAAAATACATTTTTAAAACTGAATTTGAATATGAACAAAAATGGGTGTTCATAAGCGTAAAGAAAGATGGGTTTAAAAAATTGAAAATGATATTGGCAATCACAGTGTCGAGGTGTCTACAGTAAGGTGTAATAGCTTTTTGCAGCAATGTGGTTCAGGTTTGGCCCATTACTTTCTGCAAACCAAGGTTCAGAGGGTCCCTCTGAGGGTCCGCCTTGCAATTTCAACATCCTCCATAAATTTTCAATGAGATTCAAGTCTTGCTTGGCTAGGCCATGCAAGCACCTTCATCTTCTTCTCCAGTCTTTGGAAGCAGCAGCACTGCTGTGTCTGATCCACTCGTACCAGCACAACACACACTAACACAACACCACCACGTCAGTGTTACTGCAGTGCTGAGAATGATCCACCACCCAAATAGTACCTGCTCTGTGAGGGTCCGTGGGGGTCCTGACCACTGAAGAACAGGGTAAAAGGGGGCTAACAAAGTATGAAGAGAAACAGATGGACTACAGTCTGTACTTGTAGAACTAAAAGTGCACCTAAATAGTAAGTGGAGCTGATAAAATTGACAATTAGCGTAGAAACAAGGAGGATTTACATACATTTACGGCATTTGACAGGCGCTCTTATCCAGAGCGACTTACAATTTGATAATTTTACACAGGTAGGCAAAGGTAGTGTTAGGAGTCTTGCCAAAGGACTCTAATTGGTATAGTGTAGGGTGCTTACCCAGGTGGGATTGAACCCCAGTCTACAGCGTAGACGGCAGAGGTGTTAAATTGCAATTGCAAAGAGGGTTGTGTTTGTTTTTTTGTTTGTTTTTTTTTTCCATTAGAGAATATAGAATACAGAATTTGCTTAGATCAGGACTGTGCACAGTAAAAAGTTAAACAGAGTGGTGAAAGTTATATGTATTGTTTCAGGTTCACCGGCTTTACCGTGGTGGGGGAGGAAGCTTTCAGCGTGCTCAGGAGGAATGGAGCACTGGGGCATGGAAAAGTGCCCCTGTCAGAGAAGCTGGCTTTAATGCCATTGCTGAGAGCGGCCCAAGTCTTCCCCAGTACCCTGCTGCTGTACCCAGTTATCCAGAAAGCGGACCGTGGTGATGAACCATTTCGGACTCTAGATGGAGCCAGAGTGCTCCTTTTCTCCTGCGTTGAGCAGATATCTCAATAACCTCATGCCTCCACATGAATGACGTAACACTGAAATGGTGAAAATTCTACAGAAAGGGGACTAAACACCCCATGTAGAAATCCATTGTACTTTTTGTTTACAAACCACATTGCCAAAACGGTTGCATAACAACTCAGTCACATGTGGAGGAATGTAAATATTGTTACTGGATGAAACAATTGTGCAGATAAGGTACTGCTCACCCTCAAGTCATGGCAGCTTCCAAAATCGTTCATTGGGAATGTGAAAAATTTGAGAAATAGAACTGTGTTTATTTTACAAAGTGATTCCTTACACCACACGTCAAATGTGCTGCATCCATGATTCATTCTTTGATCTTTTGCTGGAAATGATTCAGATTTTAAAAGATACAAACATGAGTTAAAGGTCTCTACATTTACCAGAAACTGACATTCTTAGTCATTTTATACCTTGAAAATATGCATAGGAGTTGCATGCTTTTTAAGTTGCCAATAACATTTTACTTTTCAAAGTGAAGTTCATGCTTTTTCAATCTGCTATTTTGTGCCTGATCTCTGCCTTAATTTTCCTAGTGCATTTAGCATGTGCAAAGAATTATCTTTCAAGTTGCCTGACATTCTGCAGTTCTGCAAGTGGATATGGCCACATCCATTTATGCAGAATTATTATTATTTGCTCAGTGCATTTTTCTGTCTGCGTTCAGATATCCACTGTATTTGATTTCAGTACCCTGCTGTTAAAGTATACATTCCTTTAGTCAGTGTTCCAGCTATCATATTTCATTGTGTTCCTATATGGAACACTATGTTTACAGAGTGGCCATTTGAACCTGGGTTTGAAACACTGCGAGTATAGAACTTGATCTTTTTTTTTACTTTATTTTTTACCCTCTGTGGAATCACAAGAGGGTAGATTTTTCATCTCTGACATTTCATCTCTGGGCTCGATTATATGTGTAACTAACACTAAATATCTTTGATATGATTATAAATGCATCAGATATCAAATATGTTACTGACATGGCTAAGTAAAGGCAATTAAATAAAAACATTCCTTTTCAGATTGAATGTAACTGGTTTCAGTCTGTTATCAACATGTTTTAAAGCATATGTGGTCAGCTTCAATTTGAAGGTATGTACATTCATATTAGCGGAGCCATATAGGAATCACGGTGCTTTTTTACATTATAATGTCTTAATAGATGCACAAGAGAGCAACATTGCATTTGGATCTCAACATCAGGACCAGCAAAGTGTTATTATGTATAAAGGAAGCAATTATGAGCCTGAAATATTAGACACTGCCAAAATCTAAATCTTTTTGAGTCATTCTTATGCAATAAGAATGCATTGATACAAAAGCAACAGCAACCTAGCAAACAATAGAAGCAGTAGTAGATGACCAAAGAATACTTTCAGTCCTAAAATAAGACTGTAATAACAGCAGCAGGGCAAATTCTGAAGATAAGAGAAGCATTCTGGCCTAAAACTAATTTAATGTATTATTTGTCATGTTTTGCAGTGTTCTGTTGGGCCTTGTGTACCTCAGCTTCATTGGTTTGACAGAATTTACGATTTTAGATCATTTTCATGTTTCCGTTCGTCAGTGTCCTTTCAAACAGCATACAATAAACAAGTATGTAATACAATCATTGGAAATCCCTGTGGTGTCATCCAATTCTGACTGCTAGCCTAGCCACAAATAGGCTAACAAATACAACCAAGCTAGCATCAGTATAACTCTGTCAACTCAATGTTTATGCAGCACAAAATTGATGCCAGATACAAGAATTTTCACCCTTTCACTCAGAGAAAAGAAGCAGGTATCTAGTTAGACTTCTAGCTACCTTTCTACCCTGCCAAAAAAAAAACAGCACAGCTGATCACCAGCAAAACCAGCATATGTTGTGCTTTGGATGCTGGTATGCTGGTCAACCAGCATGACAATGCTGGGTGACCAGCTAAACCATATTAGACCAGAATGGAGAGCTTGCTGGTATAAGCTGTTTTTGTTTGTTTGTTTTCAGCAGGGTAGCTTGTTGTCTTTCTCATCTCATGAATTCTCCCGTGTTATGATTATTTAAAAACAGTTACTGCAGTTATACAGCTGCAATATAATATTCAGCCTCCTGGCGGTAACAATACCTTTCTGGCTTCCTTCCAAAAATCCACCCCAAAGCAGTTGTAGTTTTTTAAATGTTCCTCCCACCTTCAGGTTACATCATCAGAAGGTTTCCTTGCTCTTTAAACTGGAAAATCTCACTCTAGAGCAGTGGTCACCAACCTTGGTCCTGGAATTCTACTTTTCCTGAGGAGTCTAGTTGCAACCACATTTTGCCATGCCTGCTCCTGCTAGTTAACCTCTGGCATCCTTGATTGGCTGAATCAGAGGGATTATGTTAGGTAAGAAGAGGACAGCATGGTGGGTGCAGGTTGAAGCTAAACTCTGCAGGAAAGAAGATCTCCAGGAGGAGAGTTGGTGACCACTGCGCTAGAGACTACTGAAGAACTGCTGGATACACGTGGGCATGTATACAGATGTAGTGATAGTTTACGTTTTTACATCGTTTTAAAAGAGGGAATTCTTTGTGATCTTACAGTGAAAACCGGTTTTGAGAAAGTGGTCATTGAAAATGACATTTGAAAACCTTTGCATTGATATTAAGTAAACTGCTGCTTACTGTTTGGGGGAATGACTCCAAATGATCTGCCATTATAGAGCATTTACTGCATCTCATCTGGCTGGCTGTGTCAGTGTGTGTGAGCAGTGGAAAGAGAGGGCTGAAGGAAAAGTTATTCCTATCCTACACATTTATTTACTGTGATCGTTTTTTTTTATTTTTTCACCACCAGTTTAATAATACTGATGTATATTCAGTTCACTGCTTAAAGAAAGTGTTTAGTTTCAATACTGTGATGGAGGATCGACTTAAAACAGAAACATATTGATCAAAAGTATCGATATTTCTATATCGATTCGCCAATCCTTTCTGAGATAAAATCAAAAGCCATAAAAAAGTGGAATGCATATTCTTCACTAAACAGCATTTACTACAGCAAATGAGGCCAAAAAACCTCAAACATACAAGCAGGAAATTGGCATCCTTTGAAAAATGGTGAATGGGTCACAGAATTCAGGTATTTAAAAACTGCAAAGGATTTGCAACTAAGCATTAAACAGGGCACCATTAAACATGGTGTTTTAAGATTGTGTTCGTTTACAGTGGTCCCCTGAAATTGTTAGAATATGAATATCAGGGCAATGATTGCTGAACGATTCACCCCATGAAGATGTGAATGTTGTGTGAATGAATTAAAGCTACTCTTCTGCTCTCTAACCTTATAGCCATAGTCCCGTTTTAAACCTGGTGTGCTGGAATGCAGAGCCAAACCAACAAAAACAAGCAAACAAACAGTGTTATGGAGCAATTGCTTACAGATTGCTCTGTATTTATGAAACACAGAACAACTGCACCCCCACATGTTTGCAACAGGCCACATCTTGGGTCAATCCTGTGCCCACAGACTCTCCCTGAATATCAACAATTAGCACTATAAACAACACAAATACACAATTAAAATTTGAATCTGGTGAATCTCCCCAACACATTTTTAATCACCATTTACATCTAACCAGTTAAAGGAACAGCATTTTTACAGCAGTCTTGACTAAATGTATTCGTTTTGCCATGAATCTGGTGAAAATTCATTTGTTCTTTACCAGTGTGTGCACAGAATTTGGGAGGGCTTTTCTTATCAGACTCATAGGGACAATTCACAGCCCTTATTCTTTCACCCCAATGTTCAACATTCTCTGTCCTCCCATCCCCCATCACTTGCACTGAACAAGTAAAACACGACATGGAGTTGGCTGAGGAATGTGCAAAATTGATTTTTCCCTTCTCCGAGGCTCATTTTCTCCCTTGCAGTCGCCGGTTTAAAAAAAAACATTAAAATCTCACCCTGCTATGTGATCAAATCTTTTAATATTGACGAACCTCTGCGTGACTGTTTAAGTAAGGTGGTCTTAAAACAACTAGATAGAAATTAAACAAAGCGTTTATTCCATAACGTTAGGCTCGCCACAACTCACGACATGGATTTCTCAGCACGGAATGGAGTCGAGGGAGCCATGCGCTCCCTTCCACTTCGCGCTGAATCCCCTATGCTTACGTTGAAGCTGGCTTGAAAATACACCGGACTTTCGCCTTCACTCCAGACTATTAAAGCGAGCGAGTCGGACGATGGAATTCAGACAGTGCTTGGACCGGTATACAACAACCAGAGGCCTATGAGGACGAATAGACCTGGCTGCAAGTGTTCGTTTTTTTAGCGCACTGTCTCTTTAAACGCGCGAAACCACGCCTCATTCTGTATATGCCCGCCTGCTTTTTGACGTAGAGGATGCTGATTGGACACGCCGGGCCGTCTGCGAAGGCGGTCCGCGCTTTTCATTGGTGCGCCGCCGCTGTTCGCCTCAGGACTCTCGGTGCTTTGTGAAGATGGCGGCCGAACTGGTAGAAGCGATGGTGAGTGGATGAGCGCTTTTCTTTTTCTTTGCCGAGAATAAAAGCGCTTTCCAGTACCTGAGAGAAGCTGGTTGGTGTGTATTTAAACACCAGTAGAAGCGGTGAACACCGTGTCGCGGTGTTTATATTACCGCCGGTAGTCCCTAAACTGCGTTGGCAGTTGTGGTTTTAACGTTAGCTAAACTGAATGAGACAGGCTTTCACTTTTGGGACACAGAACCTGAACGTAAAGTCGATTTTTTTTGCAAAATAGCCGCAGCCCCCGCTTAACTCACTGTTGGCCTGTCAGTCTGGAAGTCTGACAACAAGTATTAAAGCTAAGAAGTGATTGTTGTGTTCAGCTCATCCGGTACCTTCCCGCACTCGCTGTAGCCTCCATAATACTGCTCCATGCTGCTCCAATAGACGAGGCTGAAGTCAGCTTTTTATTCGCCAGCTTCTTGTTCGAATTTTCTCGCTCCACCTTAAAAGGTGCAGCAGTTACATGCAACAGCTGCATCATTTAAGGTGGAACGGCAAAATAGGAATAGGAAGCTAACTTCAGCCTCGTCTCAAATAGCCGTGTGCTAGCTTGCAAAGTACAGCATGTGTTTATGATGGACCCGGTAAACTGATCAACTAGTATAGTTATGAACTAGTATTAATATAGTTTATTGTAAACTGCTGGACTTACGTTGTTATTTGTATAAACGAATGAAATAATTTAAGTTCATTCAATATAAGATGATGGGTTTGTGTATAAACTGGCGGGCTAACATTCAGATGCACTAATGTTGGTGTTATGACGGGGTAATATCTTTACGCGCTGCTGATAATAATAAATCATAATGAACTGGTGTTAATTGTCGGGCCAGTATGAGCTTTGTGTTAACCGCGCTTTCTTTAGCTGAAAGCAGACTTGAGTTTTGTGCCGTAGGTCCATGCGAGCACTTTGGCAGTCGAGTCACCATTTGAAGCGTAAATAAGATGGCAAACTTTGCTTCTTTGCAGAAGAAAATAGCTTCTGAGCAATATGCAATGATTTGTAAGCAAATAGATTTTGTAGGCGTGACAGTAAGGGAGGCATCTAATGATGGGAACAGTAGCTTTTGTGGAAGTTTAACATTATTATTACTGTTCTTCATTTTGAGTCACTAACTTTGAGAGGAAATTAGGAAATTCTGGTGCTGTTTCCAGTCATAGATCATATAGAGAGCTTAGGAATATCTTTTCACACGTTCCCCTTGTTCCTGTGTTTCTTACCATTTATTTATTTATTTATTTATTTGTTTGTTTGTTTGTTTGTTTGTTTGTTTTTCATCTTTCTGTCTGTCTATCTCCACGCCTCCTGTGGCCAGAACATGGTGAAGAGTTTCCGGGTGTCTGACCTGCAGACACTGCTGGCCTCGATGGGACGCAGTAAAAGTGGGCTAAAGCAGGACTTGGTGGGGAGAGCCTTGAGACTGGTACAGACGGAATACAGCCCAGAGCTGCTGAAGAACGTCCGGCAGCTGTATGAGACGCGTTTTCCCAAAGCGTCCGGATGGCTAGCTGCCCGTCGTCCAGAGGGGGTACCAGCGGTGTCCTATACTACCCTCAACACCTCCCCCCGAGGCACAGCCCAGGGCACAGACTACCTCAACGGCATGCCCAAACTGGCTGCCCCACCAGCAGCCGAAGTTAAACTAGTGCCCTTGCCCTTCTACCATAACTTAGAAACGTTGTTGCCACCTACAGAGCTAAGTAAGTCATGTTCTTCACCAAGTGTCACTGGTTTCTGTCGTTGATGTTTCTTGCCAATAAGAGGTTGATTAGACATGTGATCCAAATCTCCGATCTTGCCATGCTTCGCAGTTGCCCAGAACAGTGAGAAACTACAGGATAGTCAGTGTGTTTTTGAATTAACACAGAACCAAGTGGACCAGATCCGAAACTCCAGGTAGGTAACTGCTGAAAAAAGGCAAAATAGATCCCCTTTTGTCAAAAGTAGTTTGTGTACAGTACTTACTTTGTTTGCGTGTTTACCGTATAATACCTAGTGAATAAAATGGAATGGAAGTGGAGTTTGTTTTTCTTTCCTGTCTTCTCAGTGAGCTTCGCCCAGGAGTGAAATCAGTCCAGGTGGTTCTTAGGTGAGTATCAGAACATGTAGTATTAAACTTGAAATTGTGATTTCACTTCAGAGCTGTTGGAGATAGTGGTCAGGCGTGCTGTTGAATTTGTATGAATATTCTTCCCTGTTGATTATTTTTTTCAGAATCTGTTACACAGACTCTATTGGTGTTCAGGAGGACCAGTACCCTCCTAATATTGCTGTCAAAGTGAATCAGTCCTACTGTCATGTTCCAGTAAGTACTTTAGAAATACGAGTTTGTTTATCCCTGAAATGTAAAATAACTGGTTGAAAGAGAAAGGGAGTAGAATATCTTTACTTTGGATTGAAATAGACCCTTAGAGTTTAATGTAAATGTCCCAGCTTGTACTGTGTATTCTTCAAAATGTTTGTCCTATTCTCAAGTCCTTTTTTCTGTTTGAATTGTTTTGTAATTTGCTTTGTCACCTGTCCTTTCCAGGGTTACTACCCTTCAAATAAACCAGGTGTAGAGCCTCGCCGGCCCTGTCGTCCTATAAATATCACCCCCTGGCTCCATCTCTCCACAGCTACTAACCGAGTCACCATCACATGGGGCAACTTCGGAAAGGTAGCTTGTCAGAAGACTGATGAATGTGTTGAAGCATTAAAAAAAAATGAACGGCCTTCATGGATATTTTTATAATTTGTGTGCACATATTTTGGTAGTTACACTTATAGTAACCAAATTACTACAACTGCAAGTCTTCATAAGAGGCTGCAGTGGACGTCTGCATCAAACACAGTGCTGACTATCAGATTTCTCTTTCAAAAGTGTAATGTGGTTTAGTTCAGCAATACACGGCTTAGGAGTTTGCACACATGACTTAATTCTTGCAAAATGTTTCTGAGGATGCTTTATTCCATTTGTTCATCAATTTCAGAATGTTCAGAACCGGCCTAACTTCACTAGGCTTCAGTTGAGGAATAAATTGAGCACTGCTTTGATGTATAGTACACTATTATTGCTTTCTTATGAGGAGACTGCAGCACATGCAGTTGTACACAAACATTTAAACACCCTAATTGTTTTGTTGATTTAAGTGAAAGTTAACACATTCTCTACAGAGAAGACACTTACATGAGTTTTCTGTAAATTATAAGCACTGTTTTTCACACAACGTAAAACATATCAGATAAAATTTACCACAACCTATGCACAGTTATGTTATTGTTATTTGATAAGGGGTGCCCAAGCTTTTGTATGACTCCACACACAATTATATGACATACACATACAATTATATCCTGTAATTGATTAAACTGTTGAGTATTGCTCAATTAATCTATTATACACTGCTGTTTTGTTTAACCAAAGACAATAGAAGCCCTATCAGTATCAGCAGATAGTAGTTTTTTTTTGTTTTTTTTTTTTTTAAATGTCATTGGTGAAATCTAAAAATTTGTCCAATGTTTCAAACTGATATTTGATGTATTTATTGTACTCCTGAAAGGCAGAACCTCTGCTAAAATGAATTTATTGACTTTACTGCATTTGCTACCTCATCAAAAATTATTAAATATTCTATTCATCTGTAATGCAAGTCCAGCTAAATGTCCAATTTCTACATTTTACAAATGTTTATGTATTTGCTTTGGCAGATATGTACACAGAAAATATATCTGCACTGATCCAAAATTCCCATTTCTGTGCATCCCTGCTTTTAAGTAAATGACCTACTGCTTTTTCCCCTTTATTGACACTGTTGTTGCTAAATGCACTTTGCTGGCTAATCATTTTTGGACGTAATACTAAAATGCATTTGAGAAACCAAAACGTTGTTTACTTCCATCTCTTGAAGCTATTTGTAGGCTGACCTTTTTTTTTTAAGCCTAACCTTAATGTAGTTATCCTGATTGTAAAGAAAATTAATCCACTGAGTCTTCATTGTAAGAAAGTATGGACTGTAGTCATTAAGCGACGTACTAAGTGCTCGTCCTGTTGCTATTTGCAGCGCTACTCTGTGGCTGTGTATCTGGTGAGGGTCTTCACGTCTGCAGAACTTTTCAACCAGCTCAAGCACTGTTCAGTGGAGAGCGCAGAGCGATGTCGCGAGCGCAGTAAGTCCGTAAATTCAGTAAACTTTTATTTTCTTGTAAATATAGCACCTGAACGACAACATAATAGCATTCTAACGAGGAGATGATCTGGTGATTTTGTGATCCTCTGTAAGAAAGTTGCCTTTGTTGAATTGTACTTTGCTTTGTTTTGTTTTATTTCAGTTCAGGACAAGTTGCGTTTTGATCCGGAGAGTGAGATTGCCACTACAGGACTGCGAGTGTCCCTCATCTGCCCAGTATGACTTTGTCTTTTATTCTCTTTTTATTATTATTTTTATTTTCCCCATTTCATCTTTCGTGAGCATCCTGAGTTAGTGTTTAAGAGGAACGGCATAAATCCTAAGAGAAGATTTTAATTCTATACACTCAGAGAAGTGAAAGGGATTCTTAAAAGCTTTTCCTGCTTACTTATATTCTGTAGTCTTATAGTTGAATGTGTGTTGAAAAACCAGTACACAGCCTGAAAATCCTAGGATCACCTAGTCTTCTTGGACCAGGTGAGAATACACATCTAGGGACAAGTTGCTAAAGTTTTGGTTGGCGGTGAAATTCGAATCGAGCAAGGGTACGTCCCCTCTAAAACCCCCCTCGAAGTTTATTTCTTTTGCAAGAGTTCATATTTTTCTATGACCCTGCAGAAAATTGTTATAAAACTGCGACCAAGTAATATAAAGCATGGAGTGGGTTTGCTGTATAATAAGAGTAATTAATGATGATAATAATAATAATAATAATAATAATAATAAAAAATATGGATATATCAATACCAGGTTTTCCCAGACAGAGTGCAAGTACTTTTAAGTACTTGCAGATTCCAATGCCATGCTGAGTAACCTGCTTAGAATTAAGTAATTATTAGTGTAAATGAGTGCAATATACCTTAACAGTTGAATTATTAAAATTTTGATTTTAAATGACATGCATAAGCATGGGTTTTGTGACATGTGATCAAAGCACTTCTGTATGGCTGTAAATTAAGTATGTTTCATAGTTTTGATTCCCGCTCCTCATTTAACTCATTTAACTCTCTTAACAACAATCTCTGTAGCAGTGATGGCAGGAATCCTATCCAAAAAGCTCACTTGTGGAGTTTTACGTCTTGTTCAAGTTTTTTGATCGTTGAATGTGAGTTAGCGTGGCAACGCATGCGAACTTAGCGTGGTAGCGTATGTTGGTATCTATGTATTTTTTTTTATGAGGTGAAGCACGATAAATGAGCTTAGTATGGGGCCAATACCAAATACCAGTATCGGTAATTACACAAACACCCTCATAATAATAACAATAATAATAATAATAATAATAATAGTATGTTTTGTGGTATTATCGTAATTATTGGCAGCATCATCTTATTACAGCTGTTTCCAAATAAGTTGGGCTGCTGTGCAAAATGCAACAATGTGCAAATCATTTACAACATAACACTGAGAAATTTTATGCTCCCTTTGAATTTGATGCCAGCAATGTGTTTTAAATTAAGGGGGAAGAGGGCAAAAAAAGACTGGTAAAGCTGTGTAATACTAAACAACTGGTGGAACAACTCTCAACTAAGTAGGTTTACTGACAACAGGTCAGTAACATGATTTGGTATAAAAAGAGCATCCCAGAGAGTCTTGAGCAGTCCAGACCGGTCACCCACTGAACTTTTGGAAGCTGAAATCCTCTATTAAGCAAGAACGGGAAAACATTTCACTTTCAAAACTACAGCAGCTGGTCTCCTCAGTTCCTAAACGCTTAATGTTGTTAAAAGAAGAGGTGATGCAACACAGTGGTAAAAATGCCCCTGTCTCAGCTTTTTTGGAACGTGTTGCTGGTATCAAATTCAGAATGGGCATATATTTTTCAAAAATAAAATTTCTCGATTCCAACATTTCTCAATATTTCTTTTATAATTTGTCACTGCATTTGAAGTACATAGTTGTACATAGCTGCATTATATGCATAATACTAATACTTTTTATTTATTATTAAGAACACGAACATGAATGGCTTGTGATTTCCCCTTAATGCGTTCACAAAAATTTTGCAGGGCAGCTCCTACAAACAGTATACTTATTTGCTTGACCCAGGTGCCTGCGTAGTCTTGTGTTCCTGCCATCTCGCTGCATGAGAAGCTGATCAGGAGCTCGGCTTAACTGCGTTAGTCCTCATTAGAAACACTTGGATTACTGGATCGAGTTCTATATAGTGTTAATGTGTGGTCATCCCGAGACATTCTTGTTATGTAATCACATCTGGCCCTGCAAAACTAAGGGTCACCTGGCTCAACAAAATCAATGCATCTAGAAAAATGCTTCCATATTGTAGATAGCGCATAATCATTATTATTTGCATAAACATTTTTACTGTTTGTAGAGTTACTCAGTTATATGGAAGACCTTTGATGAGTTGATACTCATGTGCCTCTGTTCTTTCAGCTGGTGAAGATGCGTCTGGGAGTGCCATGTCGGGCCCTCACTTGCGCCCACTTGCAGTGTTTTGATGCTGTCTTTTTCTTACAAATGAATGAGAAGAAGCCCACATGGACCTGTCCTGTGTGCGACAAACCTGCTCCCTTTGAATTGCTCACTATTGATGGGTAAGTTTATGATGATGGCAGTGACTTTTACGATATTACCATAAGGAAGCTTAACTGATGTAAAGCTGCAATTATATCATTTATTAATCAGTATCATTGTATTTGGCCCCACACAAAGCTGCTATACACAAATAAGCCTAGTAACAAATTGCTTTATTTTGTGGCAGACTTTTTTTGTGTTATTTAATGAATCAAAGCATTTTTGTGATCTGATCTAATGAATCTTGTCAAAATAATGCATTTTTAATAATATCAAGGGTTCACCAGTATGTTTTCATATATTATGCATATCACAACATGTAGAAATATGATCACAATATGACATTTGTAGCCCTAATTGAAATCTGCTTTTATTGGTCCAGTTTACTCTCTGAGATTCTGAAGGAGACTGAAGATGTAGAGGAGATTGAGTACTTAACTGATGGCTCATGGAGACCCATCCGGGATGACAAGGAAAAGGAGAGGGAGCGGGAAAACAGCCACACTCCAGACTATCCAGTTGTGGATATATGTAAGATTTTGTTTCGCCCTGAAAACAGGACTTTAGTACCTCATGGTTAAGTGTTGGTCAGACGTAAATAAATAAGAGGAGCTAGGGAATCAAGTCTGAGATTCAGTGTACAAAACAGGTATACGTATACAGCATTGTGCCTAAGTTTTAAGCCACAACAGAACATTATATTGAAAACTTTCTCTGGGTGGAATTTAACAGATCCATGCAATAGCTGGAATTGCACTGAGGAGAAATGTTCTTATAACCATTACAACAATATGAAATGTTTGTTGCTTTTTACAGCATTAATTATTTGTATTTATTCTGAAATTTTAGGCTTTTGCACCCAAAACCACACTTGCTGCCAAGATACTTTAGTTTCACTTTAACAAATTTCTTGGCTTGTCTACAGACTACAGTACTGCTCAAAAGTCTTAGTGTTAATGATACTATGTGGCCAAAAGTTTGTAGACACTTCTAATTAGTCATTTCAGCTAATTTTAGGGGCAGCCAATTCTGACAGTCGATCAGTTGCATCCACACACATCTTGTATCATGTCCATAGAAAAGATTTGCCGATAGAGTGAGATGTTTTGGAGCAGCCGCACATAAGCTCATGGTCACCATGCCCAATGCCAGGCATCCAGTAGAGGGGTATAAAGCCCCTAAGCATTAGTCTGTGGAGCAGTGGAACCACTGAATATCTTTAGGATGAGTTGGAGTGGAGTTTGCGATCCAGAATTTATCATCTAATATCAGTACCCGACCTCACTAATACTCTTGTGGTTAAATGCAGTTAAATTCCCACAGCAATGTTCCGACATCTACTTTAAAGCCTTCTTAAAAAATTAGAGGTTGTACCTGTGGAAAGGGGGGCAAACACCCTATTAATTATGTTTTATTTCAGATGAAATATTAAATGAGCAGTTGTCTACATACTTCTGGAAATTTGGTTTTGTTATTGATGTTGTGATATTGATGAGCGGTGAGGTTTTGGTTAATCTGCCTTCTTTGGCATTGTCTCCTCTCAGGTGTTCCTGAGGCTAACGGCCACTCCCCAGCGCACAGCAGCACGAGCCAGTCTGGGAAATCGGCACCAGGTGTCCAGGCAGCTGCCACAGGTGGGGCCGGTTCTACCGCAAGCAGCGGGGCAGTGGTGGACCTTACTCTGGATGACTCGTCAGACGAGGAAGGGGGAGGGGGGGCTGGGGACAGCGAGGACACGGAGGACAGCCAGGACAGCCCAGCGCCCAAGAGGGGTCGATACGATTATGACAAAGACTTGGTCACCGCATACTGAGAGGGGCTGGAGATACAGACTGAGAGGGACAGGGGATGGGTTGGATCTGAGCCGTGGAATTTCAGAAAAGTCCCCTTTTCCCCCCCATTGTTTCCTCTCCTGAAACACATTTTCCCCCAAATGTACATGCAGACACATGAACACATGCACAAACTTAAGCTGTTGACCTCTGGAGCAGACGGGCATCCCCATGACACCACTGGAAATCCACAGATGCCCACTAAAGCCATCCTCTCTCTCTTCTCCTCAGCATCTGAATACTTTATTCTCCCTTTAAATGACTATGGAGGAGTTCCAACCATGTTCGTTAATTTCTCTTTCCATCTCCACTACACTTTTTTTCAGTCCGAACCACTTAGCCTCACCATCATCACAGGCATTTAAGCTTTCACCATAGTTCAATTCTGTGAGGAGACTCTTAAAAAGATGCTGCTCTACTCCAACCGTTGGCAATATCAAAAGGTCAGAAACAGTAGTGACACACACAGAGGTAAACTGCAGAATCTCAATTTAGATGTTCTTTTTAATTAATAATGGAAGTAGGAATTCTAACTTTACCACCCACAATTTCATATGGAGCCATTTTCATTTGGCTTTGATATTGATATTGTGGAACAGCAATCATCAAAAAAGCCAAAATAACTCAGCTACATCAGAAATCATGCATGGTTTGGTCAAATTTTGAAACTAAGGGTGTCTTTCCCATATATTTTTTTCTCCCCCTTTGTTTTTGCTCTATTTTCCACAGAAATTGACAACCTACCTCAGTCTAAAGGCAAACCTGACCACAGCTTGAAAGGGTAGACAACCTGACTTGATTTGATTTGTTTTAAATGTTATTTTATTTTGTTATGCACAGTAACACTGGAGGGTAAAAAAATCATTCGCTATATTATTTGTGGTGCCCCTGTCTCACTGAAACAGCCCTAATCGTCATCATAAGCAATGGATTTCCAATCAGGTTCGCTCAGAATTACTGTATCAAGGGTGCCGCATGGTGCTGTGCTTTACAGTAGCTTCTCAGCTCAAATAAACATGGAGTGCTTTCTCATCATTAGTCAACACTTAGAACTGTGAGGACTTCAGTTAGTGATACTTTTGAAATTGATGTTCTTGCAGGTAAATGTTGTACAGTAGGAGCTAAGCATCATGTGTTAGAACATTTAACTGATGATTGCAGGTCTCTCTTGGATTCTCGCTTTTGCAGGTTGTGAAAGGGAGCAGTGATATTTAGATCAAGTGGAACTGCTTGAATGAGAACTACCTGGTCAAAGGCAAGGGGAGTAGATGGAGTTGAGGGAGAAGCCCAGAAGATGCCAAGAAGTCAAACAGTCATACAACATGGGGATGGTTGATTCGTAAAACTGGCAAAGATGTTGCCAAACTTTTGTTCTTGGAATTGATAGCATGAAGTCAAATAGGCAAGTAGGCATCTGACTTAATGGTTTCTTTTCAGGTGTCTTGGTTTTTGCAGCAATCTTTTCATTGGAGAATGATAGAAGGCTCTCTTTCCACTGTGATTCAGAAGTGCTGTTTGATGTCATTGTTTTGTCAGAATGGCGAGGTTGTGAGATGATCATAGAACATTGTTCATTTGTTTGCTTTTTTTCTTTTTGGGTTGTCTAATAAGTATTTATTGGTTAAATTGTCTTTAAATAGCATTTGGTATTATTTGTACATAGGAGGCATTTGAGAAGAGTGCAGTGCTATTTGAAGGCTGTTTTAATTGGAAGAAACCCAGTTGTTGTGGCCATAAAGCTGGTTCGTCTGCACAGGCCCTGGGCTGGTTTTGATTATGGTAGATTTTGCCGTGTCCTCTTGCAACCAGTCTGTTTAATCCACATTACAGTCGGACTAGTCATGTGAGGCAGTCTTGAAACTAAGAATAACACTGAGAACTAGTTTAACTTGATCCTAATCTCAAAACCTTTCAGCTGATGTGAGTTTAGTTGTACTTGGAAAACACTGATACAACTGACTTTGGACCAGCATTCTGATTATGGTAATGTTTAATACATGTGACCCTGTCTTGGCCATCAACTCCTTGAAAAGACTCAAGCATATAAATCCTGCTTCTTTTTCATGCCTCTCAGCTAGAAACCTATTAGCAGAATTTATAGTTAAAAATTCTGTAAGTAGTAGAAGTTTGTTTTTTCAATTTGGTAAAAATCTAAGCTTCAGAGAAACCACTGCATAATATCCAAAGCTCCTGGTGGCTTTTTTTTGTTTGTTTTTGTAATGTAAATCATCCTGAAATCTGACTTGAAGACACTCAGTACTGTAATTCCATCTGTGCAAGGGAATGTCTTAACAGAAGAGCACAGCCATGAGGAAAGTCAAATAAATTAATTTTGATCTGTGCATGAGTCAGCATGGTCTTCCATGTATTGTCTTCACAATACGCCCAACGTTTTGGTAGAGAAACAAGTGCTGGTTTTTGGCATATTTTCTCTTCTTGAGTCTCTGTTGTTTGTGCCCTCAAACTGGACCACATTTGTATGGTCGTTATGTTTTTGCAACTAAAATGTAGGACCGTTGCGAATAGATTTCCATTTTAGGCTTCTAATGTGCTGATTTTAATATAAGAAGCAGGTAGATAAGTTAATTTGTAAGCAGTAGAATATGACTAATGCTGATTGACGACACCAAAACACTTTTTTTCAGCTGGTCAGCAGTGAGGAGGTTTAGAGTCTCTGTGGTTGAAATCTGGCGTTTGACTTGAAGTGGTTCTTTGGGACTGGAGGAGAATCTTCGATGGTGACATCCCTTCTTCTTACAGTGCTTAAGATAGCATGGGCAGTGGCTTGCAATCCTTGATGTAAATGTTTCGTTTGTTGTGTCTTTTTATATGTTCATATTAAAAGCCAATAAAAAAAATAAATAATATTTTATCAAATTCTGAATTGCCTCCAGTTGCTCCAGTGGGACTTAGAGACCTGAAATGTTAGTGGTTAGTCATCACCACTTTCATAAGAGCTATACAAATCAGCAAAATACTGTCACGTCCTCAACATCGGACTTGGCTGTAGTAACCAAGTATTTGGTTGTCCCTGTCTGAATGAAAAACAAAAATGTAAGAAATTTAAGGAAATCATACTCTAACATGTCATTTATGTGTGCAATTAATTAAACTGATTTAAAAAAAATGTAGCAATTTGTCTTTCAAGTGTTTTTTTAATTATAAATTTAATTTTTCTTTCAAATTAAATAGTTGCCAGTTTACAGCAAGTTTATGGCCTGTGCTCATTTAAAAAGAATTACTTGGTCTCGCCACTAGATGCCACACTTGGTATATAGTCAAAGCCGTACAAATATTTCCAAAGTTCAAGTGTCTCCTGACATTTTATGTCCGTACCATATTTACACAGTGTGATGTTAACCAGAACAAGGCAGTTAGGACTTTTCTTTTGAAAGATTAATTATAAATAAGGAAATATTTGAAAGCTATTACAGCATTACAAGTGCCAGTTTAGACTTGCATGCATTGGAAGCTTCAATGTAATAACACGCATTAAAAAAACATAATTTAAGAAAGCACCATTTTAAGGAATGCTTTATCTGTAGTTGAAGTAAAATACAGAAACTGTTAATGTCCACTCGTTACCTTTATTACAGTTTCCATTCTTTTTCGAGAGACCTTCCAGTTTGTCAAAGAAATGTGCAGGGATATTTTTTCACACCTCCAAAGTTCAGTCTCAGGAGTTACATTCAGTGATAATGAGGTCTGGACTCTGGGGTGGTCAGTCCACTGTTTTGAGAACCTCAGCAGCTTCCTTGTTTGATTTGCACATTTCTTTTGTCTGTTCCCTTTTCTCAGCTACTTGTCAGCTGCACATTCTTTTAGACCCATAGCATTGAGCTGACCTCTCACAGTGGAAGGATAGACAGAAACACTTTATTTTTTTAGTACTGGACCAAGAGTGGAACTTAATATTTTCCTGTTTCTCAAAAATGAAAGCTTTTAGCACTGCTTATCTCATGGTGTGTTTTGGTGGTCTACCAGAACTTGCATGGTTGTTAGTAGTCATATTTTCTCTACATCTTAAAATATTCATTTAAATTCCAGTTTTGGAAACTCCTGTTTTTTACCGCTTATATAAGATCTCTTCAGAAATATCTCCTTAAAAGTAAATAACAAAAACATCTTTTTTCGCATTGTGATATAACAATGTCACAACAAAACAAAGCTCAGAGACACTACGTTGTCCGGGTTTATAGCTAGCTATAACATGTTGTGTCAGCCCAAGAAGAACTTGATTGTCGGCTAACAATATGACTCAGGTGCAGGTGGACCGCAGTAGTGGAGTTTTAAAACACTAATGTACATCTTAGCTGCCCTACCCTGCGCCTAGAGATCTGCTGCCTTTCACAGTTTAGGTCCAGCCCTAATCTAACCTAATCCAGTGACTCAAGGCTTTTAATAATGACTCAAAATTAAAGTTGTGGAATGCGGATGGGCCCTGATCTACATAGTCTCAACAGAGAATCAAGACTTACTGTGTTCTTGTGAAATTATTTAACCAAACAGCAATGCATAAAGCAGAGGCGCAAAACAAGGCAGCTAATGACAGAGATAATTTACATACAGCAATCAGCCATTGCATTAAAACAACCTCGTTGTTTCTTCATTTTATCAGCTCCACTTACTGTATAGGTGCACTTTGTAGTTCTACAATTACAGACTGTAGTCCATCTGTTTCTCTGCATACTTTGTTAGCCCCCCTTTTACTGTTCTTCAATGGGCAAGGCCCCCACAGAGCAAGTGTTATTTGGGTGGTGGATCATTCTCAGCACTGCAGTGATACTAGTGTGGTGATGTGTTATTGTGTGTTGTGCTGTGCAGCAACAGATGAGCTACCGTCTCTTTCTTTACATCTACAAGGTGGACCAACAAGGTAGGAGTGGACAGTGAGTGGACACAGTGTTTAAAACTTCAGCAGCACTGCTGTGTCTGATCCACGCGTACCAGCACAACACACACTACCACGCCGCCACCCAAATAATATCTGCTCTGTGGGGTCCTGACCATTGAGGAACGGGGTAAAAGGGGGCTAACAAAGTATACAGAGCAGCAGATGGACTACAGACTGTATTTGTATAACTACAAAGTGCACCTGTGTGGTAAGTGGGGCTGATAAAATGGACAACGAGTGTAGAAAAAAAGGTGGATTTAATGTTATGGCTGGTCAGTGTATATCATGCAGCCTGTTTTTAGTACATCAAAACACACAAATTATTTAAGATACGGGCCTCTAAAAGTTTCCGCATGTGTAAATCACCCCAAAAGCACGAGTTTGATATAGAATATATATATATTTTTTATGAATAGCTTATAAATATGGACCACTGTCGACCTTTCACCCAAAACCCGCCTGTTCTGTTTGCCATCTGAGTCATGTGACTCCGCACGTGAGTTTATGAGTCTGCGCGTGAGATGCTACGATCTACACATCATAGTACATCTTACGCATGGGAAAGGTTGATTTAAAGATCAGTGAATCTGCTTCACTCCAACTGTTGAACATGTTCATTGGAGATTCACGTTCAATTCTGTTCTATGAGTAATAACGTTTATTGCACATTAAAATATATTTTATTTTATCGTCAAAATGCAATAATACCATTGAAACAGATGGTACAAAGGAAGACAGATAATTAAATAAACACACAAATAATGTTGATAAAAGAAACAGTACTTTCATCAGTATTTCTCTACAAAGATCTCATCATAACTTTAAAATCTTCATAACATTTCATGTCTTCAAATCAAATTAATGGATTTAAATCAAATTCTGATGTTTGTTTTTGTCATGTTTGTTCATTTTTGGGTCTTTTGTTTGTTTATTATTTGAGAATAAGAGTTTGGCAGCAAGAATGTTTGTAGTAACATTATGTTTTTCAGTTCAAGGTTATAACATGAATTCATATAAGAAGAACAATATAGGTCACTATGATTATAAAAAAATCTATACAAGGTTTTCACCATAATCACCAAGATACCTCTTACATTACAGTATATAGATAACAGTGAATTACATGCAGGTAAATTCTCTGCAATGTCTTAAAGTGTACTTCTGTGTACTTTGTCTTTAACTTTTTTGCTCAAAGAAGTGTGAAATTAACTAGATCTTTATGACTGGGTGTTGCATTAAAACCCTGTAGGTGAATGATTTTGTGTAATTAAGAGTTTCATTGCTTAATGATATAACCAGCCTAAAATAGGCAATGGAGGTGGGCAAAAAGTACACTATGTACAAATTAAATGACCTATAAAACATACCTGAATTTTTACTGCAAGTTGTTTTTGCACAATTCAGGAGAACTGGAAAAGTGGACAAATGACATTAAAACTGGACGCAGGGACCTAAAACTGGAAAGTTGCCAATACAGGTATGTAGCGCCTTGTGGATTTACCAGTCTTGTAGTTTTTTCTGCATATTTTGTTAAAAGCACAACAATGCTCATGAATTCCTCCATCTGCATTTGAACTCTAAAACTACACAAAGCCATTTTACCTTTTACTCCTTTTTTTGATATCAGAAATTCAATTTGAACAAGTAATATGTTATTAGTGCTAGTAAAAACATGACATTTAATAGGTCAAAAGTCAGCTTTTACTTGAATTATATTTTCCCAGGTAAGATTTCAGTTCTTGCTAGTAAGAATTAATGGCTTTTCCTAATTCATTTATTAGAATTAACAGTTTTTACTAGTGGTTCATTCCACAGGGTCAATGTCAAAAAGACATGCTACTTTTTTATGTCAAGAAATTACTGTTTTTTTGTCCTCCACAGTTTCAATCACATACACTCTATTACCAGTATTTGGATACTCCTCCTAATTACTAAGTTTAAGTGTTTCAGCCACATCCATCACTAACCGGTGTCTAAAATCTTATACATAGCCATGCAATCTCCATAGACTTTATAGTCATAGGATGCCTCCATTGCCACAAGTCAGTTCATGAAATTTCTGCCCTACTAGATCTGCCCCGGTCAACTGTTAGTGCTATTATTGTGAAATGGATGAATCTAGAAGCAACAACAGCTCAGCCACAAAGCAGAAGTCCACATTACTGTGGCCTCTGCACATGAACTGTGGGTCTGGAGCCTTATATAATGGGTTCCCATGTCTGAGTAGCTGCACACAAGCCTAAGTTCATGATGTGTAATGCCAAGCATCAGCTGGAGCGGGGTAAAGCATGTCACCGCTGGACTATGGAGCAGTAGAAACATGTTCTCTGAAGTGATGAATTGCGCTTCGCTATTTGGCAGTCTGATGGACAAATCTGGGTTTGCCAGATGCCAGGAGAGAGCTTAGTGGCAACAGGAAAGTTTGGTGGAGAAGGGATGATGGTCTGGGCTGTTTTTCAGGGTTTGGGCCCATTAGTTTCATTGAAGAGTAATGTTAGTGCTACAGCATACAAATACATTTTAGAAATCTATAAACTTCCATCTTTGTGGCAACAGTTTGGGGAAGGCCCCTTCCTGTTCCAACATGACTGTGCCGCCATGCACAAAGTGACATCCATAAAGATATGGCTGTGGTGTGGAGGAACTCCAGTGGCCTGCACAGAGCTCTGACTACAACATCACTGAACACTTTTGGGATGAATTGGAATATTGATTGCGTGCCAGGCCTCTTTTCCAAAATCAGTGTCCATCCTCACAAATGCTCTTTTCACTGAATGGGCACAAATTCCCACAGACACACTCCAGAATCTTGTAGAAAGCCTTCTCAGAAGCTTGCAGGCTTTTATAGCCTCAAAAAATGAGGGCCAACTCCATACTAATGCCCATTGTTTTGGAAATGTGATATCCAACAAGCTCATGAAGGTTTGCTGTCCACATACTTTTGGCCATATAGTGTATATGCTCTTACCAAAATAAACAGATTGTTACTATTTTTACTTTTTGTGCAATACAACAATGATAGTTATAGCTCCATCACACTCTACTCGTGATGGAGGGGAACGTGACAGAGTGGCTTATTCTATGCAAAACTGGCTGCCAGGCTGCCTGTTATCATGCTTAGACCTTTTAACAGAAGTATTTCAGTGGTAAATTACATGACTCTTCTGTGAATATTGTAAACATTGTAAATAGTGTTTACTGTCTATTTTGTGTTAAAAAAAAAAGTTTAAAAATTGTGATCCACTTGTGATAAACAAATCATACACTGTTAGTTGTGGGCACTCTTTTCATGGAATGACCCCAGTATGAATTAAATCACAAGAAAATCTATTTTGCATATGCAACAACTAGTCTTTAGTTCAAAAAATGAATTCCACCATTTCACATTTTTCTACTGTTATTAACATTTTTACTAGATCATACTGAATCTGATCCTAATACCAAGAAACTCTGCACTGGATTAAACAGTAGCTAACACGGCTTGCCAATCAAAACTCTGCCAACGGTGTTCTCGCGATGACAAGTGTGAAATCTCGCGAAGCTACAGAAAGCTTCCTCTCTGGTTGGAGAGCTGCTTCCTGTACCGGATTTTTTTTTACCCCTGGAAAATTTTTACATTTTCTCAAGATTGTTCACTGGAAATCTGCCGACGGTCACGCATCGAGAGGGAGCCGTTTTATGCTGTATATTCCGCCGTCTGAAGGAGAGGACAGAGGCCTGAGCTACCGCTGGTTCTGCTGTATGTGTGCACAGGCTGCGGCTCTCTGAATGCTAAAGCTAAACATTTACATTAACGTTTACAGCGATGTGCTCTTCAGCAAAAACGTCGCAGTATTCCCCAAACTAAAGCGCTTTTGAGAGGCTTCAGACCGCCAAATGCCCACTTGTGTACGTGGGCAAGAGCTTCTCTCGTCTTCTTGTCGTTAACGTTAACGTTACTTACTCGGCAGACTGTGTGACATTTTAACGGTCCAAGACAGACAAGCCATGACAGGCTCTTCAGACTAAAGCCTGTGGACATTTCCTAACCTTTAATGACGCTTGACTAGACAGCAGATAGTTTTAGTCCTTTTTAGGTCGAGTTCACCTTTAGCAGTTGTTGAATTTCTGTTTAAAAGCCCGCTGTCTGTCGCATGTACTAACGTTATTCAGTTATGGCACCGAAGAGAAGACCCCTCCCACTGAACATAACTCCTACCGGAGAGGGACAGCCGACCACCAACATTGATGCTGCTTCAGAGTGAGTATTAGTCATTCCTGGAGTTTCTCCGGTTGCTTTAAGACCAGTTTTGTAAGAATGTGGTTTCCTTGGGTCATCAGAGCCAACCTGGAGGCCTTGCAGAAGAAGCTGGGGGAGTTGGACCTGGACGAGCAGCAGAGGAAGCGTCTTGAAGCTTTCCTCACCCAGAAGGCGCAGGTGGGTGAGCTCAAAGATGACGACTTTGACCCCATCTGCGAACTGGGCGCAGGCAACGGAGGAGTGGTCCACAAAGTCCGCCACAAACCCTCAAGACTGGTCATGGCCAGAAAGGTGAGTTGTCTCTTCACCTGCAGGGGTGTAACGATATTTTCAGGTTCGGTGTGATTTTCGATTCTAAGGTCAATGTTCGATTTTTCTGTTATTTTATGTGATATTTTTTGATGCTACATAGCAATAATTTCACACATTAACTTCACAGATTGGTTTGGCTGAGATCAGTAAAAGTTCTGAACTTTTCTCCAGCAGAATAAGCCCCAAAAATCACAAAAAGTAAAGCACCTTCAGAAAAAAGCCTTAAAAAGAAAGTCTAGTCATTTGAGCATGGGTGCATAAGCTCCCTGCCCCCTTGCTCAAGTTACTGACAGGCTACACCAAGATGCCAAGTTTTGATTATTTTTGGTGGTTTCCGTGAAAGACAGTAAATGAGAGACCCCAAAAGAGAGCAAGATATAGATTGGCAATATAGTTTTGCACGATTGTGAACCTTTTTTCAAAGTTTTGTAATCATTACACCCTTAGATATCTGTGGTACATATTTTCCTGCTGCATCCGGTTTGTTGACTGTCACCTTACTTTCACTTTACTGCAGCTCATACATTTGGAAATTAAACCAGCCATCAGAAACCAGATTATACGGGAGCTACAGGTTCTGCACGAGTGCAACTCACCCTACATTGTGGGCTTCTATGGGGCTTTCTACAGTGACGGAGAGATCAGTATCTGCATGGAGCACATGGTGAGTGAGAGGATGTAGATGATTGTGTTAGAAGGATGGCGGTGAAAGGAATTGATCATACTCACAGGTCTCAGGCTCTTGAAAAACAACAGCCTGGACTCATGAAATGCCAGCATTCTCCCTGATAAATTCCTGATCAGTGAAATCAAGCCTAGGTAAAATATTTTACTGTGGTTCAATTGAAGAAATCGCATTTGACTCTATAGTGGATCATGTGCTAAGCCTAAGCAGTTGATTTCTCCTACAAAATCAATCTATTAGGAAGCTGGTATCTCAATAAGATCCTTTTTTAAGATTTAGCCAACTTCTATCTTTCTTTTCATTCTTTCTCAGGATGGAGGCTCATTGGATCAGGTGCTAAAAGAAGCTAGAAGAATACCAGAGGAAATCCTGGGAAAAGTTAGTATTGCGGTAAGTATTACTCCTTTCTTCTTATAAACGGTTTCAGCAGACATTGGATCATACAAACTGTCTTGTTCCTCTTTTAATGCCTTTTGCAGCAGTTGTGATCATTTCTGCGTGTGAAGGTTGTTTCTAGTGTATAATACATGCAGACCAATAGTTTAACATACATTATTAGGAATTTGTGAGCGGGTGTCCTTAGGCAGGCAACCTGCTGGTAGAAAGATGCTTAAGATTTATGTGTCATAAATACTCAAGTAATTCTTTCATTTAATAATGCTAAATCATCATCTGACCCAACCTGCCATTGTGCTTTTAACAGAAGTAATTTTGTTTAGTCAGTTAAGCATGATAAATGATGCTTAAGAATGTTGATGTTTTACTCATACTAATAATATATTTCAGCATAATTATGTTAAATGTTATGTATTGTGGTCAGAAAGCTGCACCTCGTAATGCACTTTCTTGTTGGGTCCACTAACTTGATGCATAGTTCCCAGACATACACTGAACGAACATTTGATTGGCACACATTAAAAGATTTTGTCCACACCCATGGGTTGCACCCTAAACTGTGCTAGTGTCTTTTGGTAGACATTTTAAATTCGTTTTGAATCGTCATTTGTAGATGCCTTGAAAGCATATTTTTATGTAGTTACATGGTCTGCAATGTGTTCCTGAGTATCCTACATTTAACCATTAACTTTTCTCTTTACTGTTTTAATTCTGTGCTTATTATTGAGAAGTTATTATTTATTATTCAGTGACTACTTTGAAACTAATATGTAAGTTTATATGTAATTTTGAGAGTGAGGAATTGGGAGTCTAACCTGAGGTTTAATATCATTGTAGTTCTCTAGGGCTATTTATAGCACATATATGATTGATGAAAGTTGTGCACGCCCAATTTTACCGATTCTTCTTGTTGATTACATAATACCAGGCTAATTATTATTTAGTCGTGATATTTTCAGTTAAGAAAGGGATTCTATATCAGGTTTTTAAAATGTATTTATTTTTCCACAGGTACTTCGAGGTCTTGCCTATCTACGGGAGAAGCACCAAATCATGCACAGAGGTATTTTCAGAGCAACATTCCAAGCTAATGTTAGTGAATCTGCGTGTGTGTACATGTGCAAGTCGACACTGCATTGCTAGGGCCTAGAAATCAGCATATTAATACAGCTACTGTAATCCAGTGAAGGGCATGTCATGTTGTATAAATCACGGTATGCATTATTTACAATATATGTTTAGCTTCCTAGTATATTTATATATAGAGTGCAGACAATAGTGAGTTCATTTTCCCTGCACATTTGGACATTATCTGTGCATCATCACTATCAGTAGACAAGTTACTGAAATGTTACTAACAATTTACTAACAAGCAAGTCATTAAAAGGATATATATAAATTCTGTATTACATTTTTTTTTTAATCTGGACGTTCCAGTCCTTGTAATTTTCAAAGGTTAGGAGCACCAGGTGACAAATATTAGTTGCATCAGCTAAAATGCCATGATTACCATATGTGTTTGAAAAGATAACTTTTTTCAGTCGTCAGTAAAACACTTATGCATATGTGGTAAGTACATTAACAGCCAGTATAAACTGCACATTTTTATCTCCAGTAAATCCCATAGTAAAATGAAATTTTCTGTGGTGCGATCGTTTATTAGGGCCAAACCTGCTGAAACTCTTGCCATGGCTGTGCAAGAGTTAGCTCCAGAATTGTAAAGATACGTACAGTATATTTTAGAAATAGATCCCTGTATGTGTTTTTGAGCACTATTATGTACACCGAATTGTAAAATAGAATTGTAGAGTGATTTTGATGCCACTGAAATTGCACTGCACTTGTAATTTCTACTAAACACCATTGATCACTATATCAGTTCACAATCCATTGCAAATCTCTTGCAAACATTTTTGTTTGTGCTTGTTGTTGCACTATTTTGACATTTGGCTGTCTCTAAACATCATATAAAAACAGTGGTCTGTAGTTTATCCTTTTGCATGTGAGTAGGCAGTTCTTGGTCACATTGTACAACAAAGCTTATCACTCCCTGGTAAAGCACAGTTGTAAAACGGCAACACTATATATATATATATATATATATATATATATATATATATATATATATATATATATATACCCATTTTGAATTTGATGCCAGCAACCTGTTTCAAAAAGTTGGGATAGGGGCATGTTTACCACTGTGTTGCATCTCCTCTTCTTTAAACAACACTCAGTAAGCATTTGGGAACTGAGAAGACCGACTGCTATAGTTTTGAAAGTTAAATGTTTTCCCGTTCTTATTTGATATAGGTATAGATTTCAGTTGCTTAGCAGTTCAGAATCTCCTTTGTCATATTTTTCATGCCAGACGTTTTCGATGGGTGACAGGTCTGGACTGCAGGCAGACCAGTTTACCACCTGGACTCTGTTTACTATAGAGCCATGTTGTTGTAATACATGCAGAATGTTGTTTGACATTGTCTTTGCTAAAATAAGCAAGGCCTTCATTAAAAAAGGCATCGTCTGGATGGCTCCAAAACCTGCATATATCGTTCAGCATTAATGGTGTCTCCACAGATGTGCAAGTCACCCATGCCATGTGCACTGGGCACCCCTACACCATCATGGATGCTGACTTTTGAACTGCGTGCTAATAACAAGCTGGATGTTCCCGCTCCTCTTTAGCTTGAAAAATGCAGTGTCTATTACTTCCAAAAGCAAGTGCAAATTTTGATTCATTTGACCACAGGACACTTTTCCACTTCGCCTCAGTCCATCTTAAATTTGCTTAGATGCAGAGAAGGTGGCAGTGTTTCTGGATCCTGTTTATATGTGGTTTCTTCTTTGCATAGTAGAGGATTAACTTGCATTTGTGCATGCAGCAACAAACTGTTCACAGACAGTGGTTTTCGGAAGTGTTCATGAGAGCACGCAGTGGCTTCCACTACAGAATTGTGTCTGTTTTTTAATGCAGTGCTGCTTGAGGGCCCAAAGATCACGGCCATCCAGTATTGGTTTTCGGCCTTGTCCCTTGCACACAGAGATTTCTCTGGATTATCTGTTATTCTTGAATTGTTGCACTATTGCCCATGCAGTCGTGCACAGAGTGGTGAACCCCTCCCCATCTTTACTTCTGAAAGGCTTTTATACCCAGTCATGTTACTGACCTTTTGGCAGTTAATCTAATTAGTTGTTAGATGTTCCACCAGGTGTTAGGACTACACAATGTTACCAGTTTTTTGTTGCCCCTGTCCCAACTTTTTTGAAACATGGAGCTGACATCAAATTCTAAATGGGCATATATTTTCAAAAAAACAATACAATTTCTCAGTTCCAACCTTTGGTATGTTGTCTTTGTACTATTTTTGATTAAATATAGGGTTTAAATGATCATTTTATTTACCTTTTTGTACTGTGTCGCGACAGAGTTGTGCTTGAAAGTCGTTTTTCTACTTTTTCTGTTACATTATTTTGTGTTACGACTGCGGTTGCAGATCTGGAATCGTTGTAAACAAGCGTGGAGCTGCTGGGGGATTACAAATTGTGAAACATTTGGCCTGCAGGCTGAAAAGCCACTGCAAATTTGGTGGTTATAACTGGAAAGTTGTAGGAATGGAAACCGTTGCAAATTTCAAGGCTGCCCTTAGGTTTTACTCATTTCTGTGCCCTCAACTTTTTTTATTCCTTTCATTCATTCATGGACTTCATTTCATTCGGGTTTTCATTTGTTTTCCCACTAGACATCTTAAGGGAACTTTTTCAGAATCCTTGCACTGTTACAATATTAAAACTACTACAGGTAAACTCAGTATAAAGTAAGTGTATTAAAACTTTGCATAGAATTAACCCTTTTTACTTTTTTGGTCATTCTTGTTAAAACTTTTTCATTCCCATAGAGAGAATGCATCTTCAGTTTTTTAGCTAGAGTTAATCTTGGTGTTTAACTTTTTGGTTAGGGTGATTATTACTTATAACTGTTTTTTTGTTTTTGTTTACTTTTTATTACTATTTTTTTGTATAACTTTTTTTATATTGACTTTTTTCTATAGGTTTTTAGTCTATCTAGAACTTAAGAAGAAGCAAGAAAGGCTTGTTGTTCAAGTATTACTCTTATATTATATTGATATATTGTTTAGTAACTTCCTAAAATTGTTTAGTAATTACTGTGAAGCTTGACTGACATGTAAGCTGTATAAGCATGAGGAGTCTAAGTGAGGACCAGCATAAGTACACTTAGGGGTTAAATTACACCTGAAAAAGTCTGACAAATGTCTTTTGCTTTATGCTCTCTAAAGGCGAGTTGGCATACTGCGTCACTGTAATATCTACTGTCCGACAGTAACTGTTAAATAATGTTATTAATGTGAATTACATTATTTGGCAGCTGTTGCCACTACTATGCTACCAGGAATGTTTATTGAAGAAAATTATCATCATCAAATATGATTAAATGTCTGTGCAGTCTGCTGTAGTAGACATTAGTTACCATTTTGGCTTTTTTGAGGCAGACTGTAAAAGTGAGACTAAGAGTGATCCCAAAATGGCTGCCTGGAGGTCGGTGGGGCTGTTTAAGGACCTGGAGGAGCCATGCTGAAGCTGAAGGAGCTCATGAAGGAGACTCAGGGCTGTAGTTGTGCTGTTGTGGCAGAGAGTGCTAGCGAGTGAGCACTGAGCTGTCTGGGAGCCTGACCGGTAATTACGGCCTCTCAGATGTGATTACATGGCAGCCGCACCCTGCAACCCCCTCTGTTCTTTTTCTTCTCCCTCTTTTGCATCACCTCTCTTTCCCTCTGTCTCTAGTTCACTCAGTCTCTCCAAGCTCACCCAGTGGGCGGCTGTCCTGGAGAGGGGCTTTTGATGGGCTCAAAGAAAGGTTCTAGCTTGGAATGGAGTCCATTAAGTAGAAAAGTTTAAAAAAGTTGTTGCTCTGTGTACTTGTTGTTGTTGTTGTTGTTATTATTATTATTATTAGTAGTAGTAGTAGTAGTAGTACTTGTCATTGTCAGTTGTACTAGAATTTAGTTGTGAATTCTAAGTATTGAAATTCAATTTTGCGTAATTGCAGATACTTATGGCTACTTCTCTGTTATTACTTTTCACTGAATATTTGTATTCAAGTTCTGCAAAGATGTGATAATGGTACCCTAATTTCTTACGTCTTCTTAAGTCTTAATCATTTAAAGAAATCAACATTTCTGTGGTACAAGATCATACCCATATTCCCAAAACATGTACTTTATTTGTTGTATGAAGTCTTTTTGGTGGATTTTTTTTCATGAGGCAACAGGCGATCATGACGAAACAAGAGAAAAGTTACAACATAGTGGTCACGATTACATTCGTCACCTCAGAATGTTCATTGTTCATAGGTCCAGTGAAAGTAGTATCACATATGTGACAGTGATATGTGTAGGTTTGATCCAATCTAACATGGGTATGAAGACATAGGAGAGGCTATCTTCCTACAATTTTTTAATATTTGCCAATTAAAATATTTTTTAAAATTCTGATTTAATTAAACATACTGAAATTCAAGGCTGCATGAGGGTCCTCCAAAACCAAAACAGCCTGAAATTGTATTGAATGGCTACTGTGAAAAGGGGTTAAAGACTGGAATTTTGTAGTGGTTGCTGCAGATATTTATACCCATAAACAAGCAGGAGGATTGAATGAGATGTTTGTCACAATTATCTTGTTTTGATTCAGAATTATTTTCTACACTGAATACACGGATGTCACCAGTAGAATTATTTGCACAGTACACAGTTATAATAACACACCTAGCTTTTTTTATTCATGTTTAAAAATAGCCTGAGAATTTTATTTTGGTCAAACAATTCCAACACACTTTATTGGATAGTATTATGTCATTATATGAATATTTTATTATCTGGTATGCCAGTTGAAATTTTCTGCGTTACCTTTATGCCAGGATTTAGGCATTTAGCTGAATGTTTAATGGCTTGTTTAGATGAATGGAGGTGTTTCAGTAGAAAAAGAAAAAAGTAAGGTCCCACATCAGCTTGTTAATGAGGGATCAAATATTAGCAAAAAATGTAAAGAATGGTCCTTTGGGCTTAGTCCTTAGCCTAGCGTGGACACAAGCCTGCTTGTGTTTCCTCACGCACTGCCTGCAGCATCAGCTCCCTCTGTGAGCTTTATCAGACAGCACCATGGTCTCAGGGCCTGGACCTCGCCAATAGCCAAGAATCTGTGAATGACTTGTACCAAAATGTACCAAATTCTAGCAGCGTCTTATGGTCGTAAACAAATGACTTGAGAAATTCAGACATGAAACAACATTTACTACTTTTGCAGGACCCAGAGAAGACACTCCATGGGTACATGTATGTGCCATAAGTTTGTCTATATGTTTTCCAGTTCTGTATTTGCTCTTTAAGACAATAAACATTAAAAATAAAAACTTAAATATTGTTATTAAAAGTGAATAATAAGCCACTGTTAGTCTACAAAAATAGTTAAGCATGTAAAATGGTTGCAAAAACCATTGTAACCATGTAAAACTGTGCAAAAGGCCTAGGCACTTAAGCTCGTTGTTTACCTCCATGTATCTGGGCAGTAAATGTGTTTTGCCTATAAAAACAATATAAAATATTAGAAAATGTGCAAATAAAAATAAGTATAGTAAAAAGGCAACGCAAATTTATTTTTAAAAAAGAACAAGAACAAAATTTAATTTCAGATATCTCCTTGATCCTCTCCGCTATCACGTATATTTGTTATATTCCATCACAAGCTCATGTGATTTCACATAATGAGGCCCTGATTTGCCAAACCAGGTACTGGAAGACAGCTACAAATAATACAGGGCTGCCGCAAGGAGAAGTTTGCAAATTATTAAATGAGCACATTAACATACGTAAAACCACTACTTATTGAACTATTGTTATTTGTATATATTGTAATATTAGTGTTATTTATGAGCAAAGAAAGGTTCCTAAATTTTTGCACAGTGGTGAATATATAAATATGATTTAGGGACATAAATCGAAACCATCAGAAAATTGTAGTTATACTGTGATATACATTTGTGGCCATTTCACGCTCTACTAATTATAATTTTACAAAATCAGTGTCACTTCCAGATTTATGCTTCACAGTGCATTGATGCATTTTTATACCTAGGGCCAATACCTCTACAGTTATCAGCGCATCTTTAGTTATTTGACGCTCGGTGAGGAAATGAACATGTAGGCGTTCATGTGTGCCATGGGAGGCAGTTTTGTGTTCTCCAAGCTGAGCGTGGCTGGTGAATGCAGGGCTGCTTATGAAATGTTTTTTTTTCTAGTTGAATACTTGGCATGAAGGAGAAGGACTGGAGTGAAGCTTGAGGAAAAGGCCAGGTGGTGGGATTTGGGCCCTGGCACTCTTAGCCTCCCTGCTCCTCTTATCCCTCTTCGTCCCTCCATCTCACCTGGCCATTTTCTTTCTCTTTCTCTCTCTCTCTCTCTCTCTCTCTCTCTTTCTCTCTCTCTCTCTCATGTTTTGGCCCCTGCAGACGTCAAGCCCTCCAACATCCTGGTGAACTCGCGTGGTGAGATCAAGCTGTGCGACTTTGGCGTGAGCGGCCAACTCATCGACTCCATGGCCAACTCCTTTGTGGGAACACGCTCGTACATGTCGGTGAGTCAGTTTTCTCTCTCTCTTTTAGTCTCTCACTCTCCCCCCCCCCACCCTCCTGGCCCAACCCCTGCCAGGACCTGAGCCCATGCCCAGGACCGTAACGTGGGGTGCAGAGGCAGCTGCTGCCAGCTCGGCCCACTCCTCCACACTGGGCGAGTTGCTCCTGTGTTTGACGTGCTTTCTGCTGTTTTTCTTTTTTCTGCCTCGACAGCCGGAGAGACTCCAGGGCACTCACTATTCGGTGCAGTCGGACGTATGGAGCATGGGCCTGTCGCTGGTAGAACTGGCCATTGGCCGCTACCCCATCCCTCCACCTGACGCCAAAGAGTTGGAGGCCGTATTCGGCCGACCCATGCTGGATGGAGCCGGGACAGAGGGCCACAGCACGTCCCCGAGGCCAAGACCCCCAGGAAGACCCATCAGCGGTGAGAGCATGCATCTATTTTTCAGATTTTCTTACTTTTTTTTTTTTTTTTGAAAATTGACTTTAGTTCAGTTAATACTGATGAAAAATCATTGTGTCATTGTATTTGCCAATAGTTGTTTAATTCTGATACCAAAATTTCTGTTGTTTAATTTGCTGTTCTCTGTTAATAATCCATTAATAACATCATGTGTAAAGAATGTGATCTCATATAACCAAAAATTTGTAGATTTTTATTTGGTGTGTCACAAACTGTTTTTTGAGTAAGAAAGAAACTCATGAATAGGACAATAAGCCACACATCAGACATGTTTTATTGTTACTCTGATTAAACAAAACAAGCGCTTACCAATCCGAATTGCATTCTGAATGAGTTTGCATCTGCAGAATCACTGTGCATCCAACAATAAAGGAAGCCTAGTGCCTCTTTTATATAGGGATAGAAAGAAAGCTCCAATTCTACACATTGATACCTTTTACTATGACCAACGTGAACATGTATATGCTGTATTTCCTCTGGTGGCAGATCGCCTTTGAATTGACCTTCACTAGAGTTAAAGCCAGAATATTGTTAAAGCCATTTTGGTTGATATTAATTTATGGGTGATTAGAGCTTCATATAATGATTATTTTTATAATCATTAAATATATTGACTGCTATTAATTCTTTGGCTTATCCTTGCATGTTACCCCATTATAGTAGCCCTGACAAAAGTTCTGTTTGTGCAATACACAATTTATTTTTTATCATGAAACATTTAACACAGACATTGTGTAATGCAGTATAATAAGTGTAATACAGACATTGCAAAGCATTTTGCATTGCTTTTGTTTTTAAGTAAATTATACGTTGGCTTTTATCCATAGACATTGTTGATGACTAATCCACTTATTGTCAACTGATTATTGCAGTCCAATAAGTGATACTGGGGGATTGCTCAGCCTTTAGGCCTCATCCTAGTGTTGCATTAGAAGTCATTTTAGGAGGCATGGTCATGAGCAGTGTACGAACGTTTTTGTGTTGGCTGCATCCCTACTGATAAATCTTGGAACTACTCATGAGGAATTTTTTAATTCAAGGTAAAATACCAGTGTTGCTATCTATAGGGTACTCTAGAGAGATTTTTCTACCTTGGAGAGTGTTATAGAGACTATGGCTATGAAATATAAGCCATTTTAGTTGACTCATGTGAAATGCTTTTCCCCAAAGGACATGGAATGGACAGCAGGCCGGCCATGGCTATATTTGAGCTACTGGACTACATTGTCAATGAGGTCAGAGAAAATGCTTAGTACACAGCTTTGTTCCTTGTGTGTTTTTTCATACTTTTTTTTTTTTGCAGTGCTCCTCGATCTCACCTCTTTCCCTTTTTCTCCTTCTATCCCTCCATTTTCCACAGCCCCCACCTAAGCTGCCACATGGTGTATTCACCTCAGATTTCCAGGACTTTGTGACAAAATGGTGAGTTTTGTTTCGCGTCATAGCCTCTGCCTTGCATGCCTGCAGTTTTCCGTGGATGGGTGTTGCGCAAGGTGGCTAGCCAGTAGACTCACAAGTATTTTCCTTTCCTTCTTGTATTGTCTTAATCTTACACATTGGCATGAAATCTTACACTTGAATGAAAAAGCCCAGCGTGGCTGTTGTGTGTCGTCTATTTTTAAAATGACAAAAAGTATTTAAGTTTGAGGTCACATTCCTCACCACCCAAGAGATTTTGAGTTTGACTTTGTTTGTTCTTTCACAGCCTCATCAAGAACCCTGCTGACAGAGCTGACCTGAAGATGTTGATGGTGCTTGTTGTCTCGTTTCTTTTTCTGGGGTGGTTTATTAGGAAATGACCCATTCATTTTCAAGACAAACCATTCCTATCCATAGACTCAGTATTGTTACATAACTCTGTAGTAATGTTATATACTATGTAACAATGTTACTAGATTCATCTTTAACAATGTTCGGCCAAAAATCAGATCAGAGAAGGGGAATTCCACAGATTTTTCAAAATTTCTGCATAATTCAGTACTGAGATGTAAAAAAAAGCCAAGTAGAGCATTTGATGTAAAATGATGTACAGAAACTTACTGTATTTCGCATTTCTTTATAATGGTAGTGATAGGAAGCAGGGCTCAATGTCTATAATGTGTATGTATACATTTTGTTTGCTATCTGAAATAAATTCTGAGTTTTTATATGTAATTTTGGTAATAGTAGAATAGTAATTCTGTGAATAATTCTGACTCTGTAAGTTTCTCTAAAATAGCATTTCATATCACACCATTCTGAAATCAACCTAATCATTGAATTATGCAGAAACTTTGAAAAATTGGTATAATTCCCTTTTAACATACTGTATTCTAAATAAAAGGACAAAAGCATTAAGAAGTAATAGCAGTTACCCTAAAGCCTGAGCTTTGTCTGTAGTTTTGTCCATTTTTATAAATAACTGTATATCATACAGTGTCAGAAGCAACTTAAGCATGTCTATTTGATATTGCTTACAAGCCCATGTCATGGAAAACCAAATAGTCTGAAATTATAAACGGAAATAGTCTTTTTTTTTAATAAGAGAATATAACATAGTACGTAAACATTGTTAAAGTTTGAAAACGTACTGTTCATTCCCCAGTCCATACAGTCTATAAGTCCGCCTATTCAGCCTACAGTACTTTAGCCCCACCCATTCGAGCTAAAGTTACAAGGACTGTTTTAGCCTGGACTGCTTTCTGAATGAGACACAAAACAGGGCAGCCAATCAGAACAGAACTCATTTACATATGTTCATCTTATAGGTCCAGTAACAGCAATTCTTAGAGATAAAGTGGAAGTTAGAAAATGGCAATATAAAGCTGGAAAGTTGGAAAATGCTCACATAAAAATTAATTATGACTGTTTTTGGTACATAAATGTCACGAAAGGACCTCAAGAGGAACAAATAAAATATAAGAAAATGTAGAATATGGGTGCTTTAGCAACTCGAAATGGTTTGAGGCACATGGGTGATGATTCAGGCATGCAGTTTGCACAGCGTTTACTTGTTAGGTATGTTAGCCTGGTATTTTCTGTACAAAACTGAAGAAGCAAACTTCAGTCACCAAACATGTCTTGGCTGATCGAGTACATTTGGTTTAAAGGGGAAATTGTGTAAATTTGATTTTCGGCCAAACCTTTTTAAGACTTTAAGATGACTCACTTTTATTACTTACCTCTTCAATAATTATTTGTCTGTTGTAAATGAGGTGTTTCTCAAACCCTCCTCTTTCTCTTTTTGCAGGGCCACACATTTATCAAGCGTGCGGAGGTGGAGGAGGTGGACTTTGCCGGCTGGTTGTGCAGAACCATGGGCCTGAACCAGCCCAGCACTCCCACTCGCAGCTCCGAGTGAATGCAGCCCTGCAGTCCGGCCGCTCACACCATAAACCTCTCCTCTCCTCTCTTCTCCTCTCCTCTCCTTTCTTCTCCTTCGTTCTTTTCTCCTCTCCCATGCTTGTTAAGCCCAGTTCAGACCACCGCAGGCCACTCCCTGCTCTTCTGCTTACTCTCTCTTGTTGCTGCCGTGCTTTTCCGCAGGTACTGGCTTATGAGAGGTAGTCTTCGTTGTTTGCACACTTGTCCATTTGAAGGACTTTAGGTTCAGACACTTTTCTTCTTCGCTTCAACAAGACGTCTCAGTTTTCAAAGCAGTTATTCAGGAACGTTTCAGGTATGACAGAGCACCCGGAATTATAATATATAATGCATATTTTAAGTTCTTTTATTCATGACATCATATCATCGTGTACCGTTGTTTAAGCGCTATGCAGTGACAATGTCATCCTGGCACTGCATCAAAAAAAACAACAGTCTGGTCAAATAGGGACTATTCAGCCTCAGAAGATAAATGCCTGTTCTGCTTAGGTTATGTCCAAATGTTGGGAACCAAAGAGGGCTACAGTGGATCGCACTAATTTTCTGCTTATGGATAGTATAAGAACCGTCCATAAATATAAATGAGTGAGCTCAAAAGGCCATGAGGACAGATCTTCAGCTAATGCAAAATCAGAGACATCGCAAAGCCAACGTATTAAGTAACATGATCATTGGTTATGTTGTAAGTTTTCCCATCTTGGCAATTTTCATTGCTTTTTGGCCCCCTTTGCATAAAGCAGTTTTTTTCAAAATAGTTCAAATCAAGTGTTAATGCACCTTTCCTCAGAAAAAAAATTGATTTCATTTAAATCACAAAGTCATGAACTATGTCATTTGGATGAACTGATGAAATGCCCACTCAAATTACCCTTTCCCTCGTAAACAGAACATTTGCTCCTCTTAAGAAATGAACTGGTTTTTCAGTCTGCAGTGGGGACTGTAGCATATTTTTCTCAGAAGCTATTTGGGCATGATAATGTGCAGCCATTAATGTTTCTTTTTATTTTATTCTCAAAACCATGTTTTTATTCATGGCTGTATCTGATGCTTGAGTTGTTTGTCATCTTAAAGTTCTTGGTTTTTGTCGACACTGGAACGGTTTTCACCTCAGTATATTTTGGGTAACTTTTTAAATAATGCTTCGATGTTACATTTTATCTACGCAAAAGACTGATATTTGCGCCTAAAACCAGGATTGCACTCTACGTTACACCTGATGTTTCCCAGACCTTTGCATTGGAATGCATACAAACCGTACATGCTAAGCTAGCTCTGTTTAATATAAATTAATAAAGAACTTGCATGGTACATAACTTATCAAGTTCTTTTAAAAGTGACATGTACTATGCAAGAAAATGTTCTTATACAGAAACACGGCTACAGGTATGGTTATAAACGCATAGTTAGTGGATGGCAGCTGTGCTGTAGGAGTGCAGTAGCCTACTGATTGGCTCTGGGTTGCTGGGTGGTGATGGCGCTTGGCTGCCTGTCTTTCTTTCTCCTTCAATATTCATGGGTTGAGTTTCTCTAAAAACAAAAGTTCAAGATCATTCTAAGATGGCAGAGCAAGTATCACTTCGTTTAAAACTGTCTTTGATGATCTTAAGACTGTGATGTTTTTGAGACACTGAATTCCCACAGGAATGTTGGATCTGTATTGCTACCACACACTGGCATTCATCTCCGACCAAATGAATGCATTGCCACACGTATGTGTATAAAACTATATGTACAGTACTGGTGGTACTGTTTTGCAGTCTTAAAGAAATAGCCTTCTGTTTTTGTTTTGTTTTCTGTTTCTTTTTTTCTTTTTTTTTGGTGTAGAGAAAATGGGAAGAGTCATTTTATTATCATATGAAATGTGTTGAATACGGTTCTAATACAAGAATAAAACTTATTTGTGAATGAATGTTTATACTTAATGACTTGGTTTATCATTTTTATGATTTTCAATTTATTTGGCCTTTTAGATTTTTCCGAAGTACAGTACCAGTTAGAGACCAACCTTCATTTATTTAGTTTCCAATCAAAATGTCCATTAAGTACAAATAATTCATTTTTCAGCATCTGAAAAAAAGCAGAAAACATTACACAGAAACTTTTACACATAATATATTTCTTAGTTGGGGGTCCACCTTTTGCCTTTATTACAGCTTTCATTCTTTTCGGGAGATTTGCTTTCTGTTTTTTCAAATAAATCTGCAAGAAAATTTTTCCACACCTCCAAAGTTCAGTCATAAAAGTTGGTTGTATTTTCTGCTTCTCATGATTGAAGTAATCCCAAACATATTCAGTAATGTTTAAGTTTGAACTCTTGAGTTGGCTCGTTCACTGTTCACCAGCAGCTTCTTTGTTTTGCAGATTGTCTTCGTTTTTTGTCTGTTTTCCTTTCTCAGTAACAGCTTCTTGACAGCTACACATCCTTTCAGACCCGTGACTTCACACACTGCAACAATTGACAGAATTTTTGGGATTTTTTTCAGATCTCAAGGAAGAGTGGAGATTGATATTCTCCTCTCCCTTAAAGATGACGGCTAGTACTGTTTATCGGAGGGTGACAGTTTTGGTGATCTACCAGGTCTTGCACAGTTGAATCCAAATTCTCATGGAATGAAGTGGAATGTCTTATATCTAATCACATCAGTAATACCTCCTAAAATTGGGTAACTTAATTCCTGTTCTGACTGGAAATTAAATTAACAAAGGGTGGTCTCTGGCTTTTGCAGAGTACTGTAATTAATTCGTAACATGGATAGGCTGGGGGTCCTTGAGGACTGGGTTTGAAAACTATGGTGTATGGTCTTGTTATTTTGAGCTTTTATTTCCTTTCTCTCTCTAACCATATTGTATTGTGAAGAGCCAGAACTATAGTTTTGGGTTTAAGAGTCTAAGAAAATATATTTTATACCTAGCATGGTGACTTTAAGTTTCTATGTCTGATTTCATCTGTTCCAACTAAAGTTAATGAACAAAATGAAAACAGGGACATTTTATGGTATCATTTTTCAGGACTTGTGTAATGCCTCTTGTGTTTTTATTGGTGTACTTTGAAAATGAAGTGTGTACGATTGATGGGGAAAACACTCAGTCTGATATTATAGCTGACAAATTCAGCTTAAGAGGTGGAAAAAATAAGTGCCCACTTCACTTCTTTTTCCTAGCCTTTTCACTTTTTCCTAGCCATTTCATGTAAAGATAAACAGTAAATAATAAATACATAAATAATTACTTACATTAGTTACATTCTTATTTGTAATGCCCGTTTCCAGCAATTAAAAAGTAATGATAATAACTTTTAGTACTGTCAATATATGAGTTCTACATTCAATGCTAATACTTTGTTAATATACTCAAAAAGAGAAGATGTTTACTATGTTACAAATCTGTTATGTTCGGTAAACTGTGGAAGTGATTTTTTTTTTTGTGCAAACAAATTAGTTATTGATATCTTTTGGCTCTTTTGGGATCCCACACCCTAAAGTCTGATTTCCTGTTCAAATAATGGCTCAACAGGTCCATGATGATGGGTCCAAATTCCCATTCATGCAGTTAGTATCATCCCTTTGTTAATTGAGTATAAAAGTGAAACATAAAAGTCTGTAAAATAATTACAATTGGTAACAGTTGGAAGAATAGAGGTACCTCACTGGAGAACCTTGAGAGACTGCATATTGGAAGCTATGTAAGCGAGAGAGCTGTGTATGTGTGTGCATGGTGGGGGGGTGTTGCTGGCAGACCCTGAGTGTTTTGGAATGTGCCAAGGCTTGTTTCTGGGGTGGGACTCCATGACCTCAAGCTATGGGATGGATGGGTGTGACTGTAGCGCACAGCCACTTCAGAAAGAAAAGGGCAGCTTACAATCATAGTTTTTAGCGCACATGCTCACTTCATTATAAATGTCATGCTGGGGTGAATAACTTTTTTAAAAAGGCGTCTGGACCACCTCTCTGTGCACACTGTCACCTACTTTTATGACAAAATGATTGTTGCCACTGTCTCATGGTAATATTATTTTTTACTGTATTCCCCAGAGAGGTGTGGAGGAGACCGGCAAGGGAGGAATGCTGTTTCTTTAAGAGCGAGAGAGAGAGAGAGGGAGCGAGAGAGAGAGAGAGAGAAAGGGAGGGACCTCTTTGCCCTCCAGAAACCAGGAAGGGAATTGAGTTGATCTGCTGCTGCCTGTTTAGCGCATACGGGGCTTTGAGAAGCAGGGACAGCTAAAGAGAGAGAGGGAGAGAGCGAGAGAGCTCCAGAGAGGAGGAGAGGAGAGGAGGGAAGAGAGAAGCCACAACAAGCAGCACCACGGCCATCGCAGGTGAGTTTACACCCCCCCTCTCAGTCCCCCTGCACGTCTGTCCAGGGCCTGCCGACCACAGGGAGAAGAGAATGGAATGAGGGAGGGGGGCAGAAAGAGCAAAGGGGCTAGTGGGGGGGGCGGGGGTTGCTGTGCATTTAGGACTTGAGCTGCTTCTTTTTTCCCTGCAGACTTAACTCATTTCGCTTGCTTTCATATATTGCCATTGCTTCCCTGAACTTTATTTCCATTTTGTTAGGCATTAGCACTCTTAGTTTGGTGAGAGATGGCGGGGGGGCCGAAAGAGGAGGAGTGGGACAGTGTGAGAGGAAGGAGGAACCAAAAATAATGCCATGGGACAAGGTAGAAGTGGCATGTGACAGGCTTTTACTTTTTGGTTCGTTGTCATTACACAGGGAATCAGCGGTGATGGATTACTTGTGTCAGAGCTTTCGGCTCTGGATTATTTTTTGCTGCCTCTTTCCTGCTGGGTTGGAATATTTCTGTGGTTAAAAAGTCTTATTTAGGTCAAGAACGGCTAAGTTCTCCTGTATTGCTTCATATTATTTAGGCCGGCTAGACACGTCAATATTATAGTGTTTGTTTTTGTCTCAGAGAGGTGTGAATTTTTTTATTTCACTCTGCGCCTGGCCCAGCTTGATGGCTGGTCTGTACTTTTAATACCTGGCATCCTGCTAGCAACACACTGTAGTGTATAATTCAGCTCCGAGTGCTTACGTTGAAGCAGGCTCCGAGGTGTGGGGGTGGTGAGAGTGGACAGCTTGGGACTTGTAGTTCCACAGCAGTGGCCTAGAACCAGGTGAAGTAGCTCCAAAGAACTCCACATCCCAGAGTGCCATGCCCTTGGCCATACAGGAAAGGGAACAGCCGGCAGCCTATCCCAGTGGGGAGGTGTGGTGAGTGAGTAGCTGTCAGGCCAATCGCAGAGGGGGAAGTGAAGCCAGAGCAGTGGGCTGAAAATAGAGGGGTGGGGGGGGAGAGGGAGAGAAGGGGGGGTGGTTAGTAGGTGTCTGCCTGTGTGGGATCAGGCAAGGGCTTGCCTATGAAGCCAGGGCCACTCTGAAGTTTCCTGTCTGCAGTTGCTCCACGGCAGGGTCCTGCCCAGACACGGAGGCAAGCAGGCCAGGGTTAGGACTGAGACTGGCCCAAGGAAAGAGACACGTTTCTGTCTGGCCGGTAAGCGCTTCTTAACAGCACTCTTACTCTCTCTGCTGCCTAAAGTGGAGAAGACAGGAGGAGAGAGGGCTAGTGGGATCTTTAAGGGGGAGAGAGGAAGAGAAAGAGAGAGAGAGACTAGGCTTGACTGAGCTTGGAGAGCTTGACCCAGTTGCAGATGGAGTAGAGATGGAAAACGGAGGCCTTGCTGTACTAAGGTATGCCCCGAAGAGGTTATATCTGGCTCGCGTTAACTTTTAAAGGAGTTACTTTTACTTAGTGGCATCATTAAGGCATTAATACTCGAACTTGACCCATTGAAAATGGGAAATGTTTTTTTTAGCAAAAAGTCTGAGATGCAAAGTTAACACTGTTAGACAGTTGTGATGGTCCTTTGGCACATGTGAGGAAATGCAGCACCTCTAGAGGACTGAACTGTTCAAAAAAGTTCAATTTGTTTATGCGACAATGCCACAAATTGAAATCTCTGTTGAGGCTTTTAGTTTCTTTTGCTGGCAGATGTGGCTGGTGTGTCTCTAACCCCTTCCTCATACTTTATATAGCGCAGTCTTTTTGCACATCCCCCTCACTGTTCTCACTGAGGGTCTTTTGGTAGTGTCTCATGACTTGAGTCAGATCAGCAGTCTGCATGGGTGTCCTGTGCATGAAGCCATTGCAGGAAACTCTTTCTCTTTCTTTCTCTTTTTCTTTCTCTCACTGTCTCTCTGTCTTTTTTTTATTCAAGGATGTATGCAGATAATTTCCAACCCATACTCGCTCGACTCGTTTTTCGCTGGTGCGGGTACAGGGAGGGCGCAAGGGGTATTTTTATTCACTGATGACGCCCAGTGTCTGAACAATACACAGAAAAGGCTCCTTGTCTTGTCAGGGGTGAGGCCACTCTTTATTGTGTCTTACTTGCAGTGTGAATGACACGCATATCTGCGCCCACTTGAAGTGCGTGTACTTTGTATATGGGTAAATCACACCATGGGGTCAATTTAGGTCGCAGCACCTGGGTAGGAATGTTATGAGGCCATCAGAACTGTGTGTGTGAACATTAAGAGCACCACCCATAAAGCAAACACTAATGTTGCTTTTCTTTCAAATAAATCAGAAATTGCTGGAAGTGAATTCGCACTAAAAATGAGATGATTTGGGCAGATAATGTGTCACCTGTTCAGAAATCCAGCATGGAGTTCACTTTTCAATTGAGATTTGTTTTTTTTTGACTGCACAGAATTTCTACTTGGACTAGTTTCTATGCATAGTCACTACATTCACACCCTTGGTCAACCGCTCAGCACTTATGCGTAGACTTAACACTTAACGCTTTTCTTAGAATACTTCCAAGTCACATGTGCTCTGAGACAGCTTTCTTATGGTAAATTGCTGTGCATTTCTTGTTAAGATTTCAGTTCTCTGTAACTCGGAAAGTTCAAATGCT